CACCCTGGGTTCTCTGCAGTAAATCCCTGCTGGAAAGGGCTTGTGTGCGGATGCTGGGTGAGGACCTTATCAGATCATTATCCCGCAGGGAATCCTCTCACTCAGCTCCTGTTAATGCTGCAAGCCAAAGCCCTATTGCGTAGGGTGGTCTTAGCGGACAAGCAGTGGGAAAACTTGCCAGACAGTGTTCTCAATGGCAAGACTATGCGGTTTCAGCTGACTAGACTCCAGCAGTTACCCCAACGCACACTCTGGGGTCCCCAAGCCTTGGCTCTTGCCAACCTGCACCTAATAAATTGCGGAAGTAGGTAAGCAGGATGTGTCCCTCCGGGGAGAGAGTGCGGATTCCATTCCAACAATCGATCTCTGGAATTTCCAGGTATAGGTGGGATGCGTGGAATTCTCAGTTGGGTTTGGACACTCTTAAGCGCGGTGATGGGTTTCCACATGTGTCAAGACACCCGGGTGACCCTAAAAAAAATACCCTCCAGGGTGAATGGGCCCCGCTGGCCCTCACCACCTGGTCTGACATGTGAATTGTTATGGCCTTTGGAGAGTGTTCAAGAAGACTCCTGGGGACCTGCAATTGGGCCTGCGAAGTGCCTTTGGTCGCTGCTTTCAGGAGATGAGCAGAAGAATAATACATAAGGTTGTGCTTCTACATTCTAACCAGAAAGTTAAACATATTCCATTGACAACAGTGTTGTTGTGGTCCACCCAGCAAGCCTCATGCATGCTCCTCCAAATCTGCCAGCTTTCATTATTTTTACAGGGTTTACTGTAACTCTGCCCCAACCCCAACCTCAGAAAAGCACTTCTTCTAGGGTAGTGTTTCCATTTCCCATCTCAGCCATTATGTCAACATAGCTCAGTCTACAACACTGCGTCAGAAGGTTGTGAGTTCAAGCCCCACATCCAGGACAACACTCTGTCACAGGTGCCATCATCTGAGTGAGATGTTAAACTGACATTGCTACTTAACATCTGCCTGTTTTGTTCTTTTATTGGTCAGCCGGATGTCTAACATGTGAAGAAACTCATCACCACGTTAAGAGTATCCAAACAAACTGAATTCCATATATGTTTGTATGTTCCACATAGAAAATGTCCCCATTTCTGAAATGGAACAATAACAATCCTTGCATTTGATATACATCTTTATCACGTTGGATTTCTACACTAGCTCTGCCTGGCAAAGGGACTGGCCAATCAGGATAAAATATTGCTTGCGAAACTATTCCTAAAAAAAGGACAGCACTTCCAGCCAGGCACCCCCTTCCCCCCAGCACTGCACTAGAATGTCAGTTTAGACTACGTGATTCCAAGACAATGTGGAGCTTGAACCCACAACCTTCTGACTTGGAGACGAGAGCGCTACCACTGAGCCAGGCTGACACAGGTTAACATTGTGAAAGAGAAACAGAACAGGAATGCAAGCCTTGATTTTCCCATTCCCCTCCCCCAAGCATCAATTTAATGTCACAATCGGCAAAGGTAGAAACCTACGCTCCCAGCTCTCTGGAGGTGAGACATGTACCTCACTCACCATGTTCCGAGTCCCAAGCTGAACAACTGAACTCCGGGATGGCGAGTGCTAATTTCTACAGGATGATCAAGTGAATCACCACACAAAACTCTACACAAAGGCATTGTTGAGCAATTCCGGAACAGTACAGTACTGCAGCAAAGTAACATGAATTTTGTCTCATAGCAAGAGGATTGGCATGCCAGGCAAGCGAGGTGCTTTATAAAAAAAAATCACACAAAGTGGAAAAAAGGACTAATGGAAGAGCTGGTGTTAAATAGCCATCTCCACATTGATAATAATATAATAATCCTTCCATTTGATATAGCGCCTTATCACATCATTGAAACTTCTCAAAGAAGTTCACAGATTATATTGTAAAGTGGATTGGCTGTGTATTTTGTAGGATTTATTACCCCTAAAAAGCGATCTGCAAATTAACTAACAACCGGTGCCTACTTACTGCTAGGTAAACAAAGGCGTGTGGAATAAGGAAACTTGCCTAAGGTTTTGCCCTGCCTGGAATTAAACTCAGGTCATCTCGCTTGCGAGGGAGCACACTAACCATTACGCTACGAGATTCTTTGATGTTGGGGTAAAGAGCACAGAAAAGCCACATTCCATGTCACATTCCAGCTTTTTCCCCCCACCTTTAACTCCTCTCCTGAAAACTCTGGGTATAGTTCCAAAGGTTTGTTGAGTCTCCAATTTTCATGTTAATTCAGATCAAGTGTAAGATGATTTAGTCGATTAGAGGGGATATGAAATAATCCTTACATTTTGATATAGAACTTCATCACGTCATTGAGACGCCCCAAAGTGCTTCACAAGATGTATTGCAAAAAATGCGGCAGCCAATCTGCGTACAGCAATGTTTTACAAACAGTGAGTGACCAATTGTATTCCAAATCCAAACTAATTCTACCACAAAGCAGTGGGTGGAGTCGCAAGGCAGTAATTAAAAACCAGAACCCAACTCGATTTTTCCTTCCTCAAGCACTTGAGATGTCCTCTGAAGTGAAAGGTGCTGTGGAAATGTAAACTTGTACTGTGTTGTGTCTAATCCAGGAGCAATGAAGCCTTAATGGAGTGAATGATACTGCAGCCATTCAGACTGAGATTTTCTAACTCTGCAAAGACTGGAAATCAAACCATGGCTTAAATACAAGACTGTTGGCAGGTAGCAGGATGCAGTGTTAATATTAACACTGTGGGAGCACTTCCACCGCAGTACTCCCTACTGCAAAGTGTACATGTGGATGTATTGTACGTGTAATGTATTAGTTAGCGCGTGACTCGCAAGCAATAGGAGCCGGGTTCACTTCACGGGGTGGCCGAAACCTTAGGCAAGTTTCCTTACTCCACATGCCCCTGTTTACCTAGCAGTAAGTAGAAATCCGGTTGTTAGACAATTGCCTCGATGTTTTCAGGGATTGACTATGTACTGTGTAGGGCTTAGAAAGCGATCCGCCAATCAACTAAGAACTAGTTCCTACTTACTGCTAAGTAAACAGAAGTGTGTGGAATAAAGAAACTTGCCTAAGGTTTCGCCCTGCCTGGAATTGAACCCGGGTCGTCTCACTCCCTCCCCCTCAAAAGAATGTGGTCACTCAATCCACGATTGTTTGTGGGACACTGCTGTGCACAATTGGCTACCGTGTTTCACCCACAAAATATATGGTCAATCCGCTTTACAGTATATTCTGTGAAGCGTTTTGAGATGTCTAGAAGACATGAAAAGGACTACATTAAATGCAAGGATTATTATTATTAATTGACATAGCGCCTTATCATGTCGTTGTAACGTCTCAAAGCGCTTCACAGGATACACTGTCAATCCACTTTGCAGTATATTCTGGGAAGCGCTTTGAAAAGTCTCAATTTGGAGGAAAGAAATTCTAATTTTGAAACCATCCCTTTTTTTTGGTGCAGAAGAAACACGACCTCCGACTGAAGACTTTATGGGAACAGAAGAAGCCCAATCAGCCCATCAAGCTTGACCTCAGGACTTGCAAATTCTGCACAATGTTACAAATTGACTAAAACCAAAGAACATGGTAATTTCAGGCCGTAGATGAGGAGACAATCTTATGCGGTGGTCAGTGGCAGAACGAGGCCCCATGGCTGATGCAAGAATCTAACATTTTTTAAACATCGTGGAGACATCTCAAAGCGCTACACAGTCTGACACACGCGGAAAGAGTATCCAAACACAGCGGATTGACTGTGCATTTTGTTATCATCACCGCTTTAGCATCACTGGCTCCTCGTGTTCGCTCTCTCTCTTTCTCTCTCTCCCTGGTGAAGCATATGGGTGATGCAGTCATATCGAATTGGGGAGTCGGAGCACATCAGATGGATGGGTTGAGCCCCATAAAAATAACAACAACTTGCATCTGCATAGCTTGACAGTGGCAGAGCTGGACTCTGAGCGGGGTGGGGGGTGGGGGGGGGGGGGGGGGGAGGAGAGGGGAGAGGGGCGGTGGAGGTGACTGGAAGAACGATAGAAACGGAAGATCTTCAAACGTGACCTGAAGATGGGAAGGAGGGGGCAAAGAGGAAGAGTGTAGAGTGTTCCAGAGTTGGGGGGGGGAGGGGGTGGGAGGAAATCCCATGGGCCCTGACACTAGTGCACCACTGTAGGTCACACCAGTGCCTGTGCTGCCCAACCACAGCCATGTAACCAACTTTGTGGAGTCCTGTAGCTCAGTGGTTAGAGCACTCGCTTTGCAAGTGAGAGACCTGAGTTCAATTCCAGGCACAGGGCGAAACCTTGGGCAAGTTTCCTTACTCCACACGCCTAATAATAATCCCTCCAAAACCAAAAACATAATTAAATTGGTCATTTTCAATCTACGACTGTTTGTGGGACATTGCTGTGCGCAATTGGCTGCCGCGTTCGCCCAAAATATACAGTCAATTCACTTTACAGTGTGTTCTGTGAAGCGCTTTGGGACGTCCTCCTGACGTGAAAAGCGCTATATCAAATGCAAGGATTATTATTATTATTATTATTATTAACTGACAGGCAACACGTGAAGGATCCCAGAGTCTCCTGAGCAAAGTGAAGGGGCGCCACCAGGACAGTGGGACAGGACCTCGAGGTGACTGACTCATGGCCCCAACGTGAGAGAACATGGGGTGGAAAGAGGACAATTTTTTTTTTTTTTTTTTTTTACGCAGCTCTCTTTTTTTTTTGGGTGGTGGTGGTGGTGGTGGGGGATGGAGTGAGAAAAAAAAACACACACCCAATGTCAAAGCTCACCATTACCAGTGAGACACGTTGGGCCTCCTGTCTGGAGGAGGAGGGGGACACACACACACACACACACACACACAGAAAGGTTTCCCAGAAGGTAATATGAACAGGTTTACATATTTGCCAATGCCCTGTGCAGACTACTCCCCGAGACCTGCGGGGAACCACCTGACTGAGGGCTGTGAATGGATCGGGATCGGTGGTTCATCAACTTACCTGAAGTTCAATTCGCTTCTCTCCAGACGTGCAAACACACACACACACACCCACACACACACACACCAGAGCACAGTGCCGGGGGGTCAGTGCTGCCTCATCCGGGGTGGGGGTGATGGTGGTGGTGGTGGTGATGGTGGTGATGGGGTGGAAGAGAGACTCCAAACTGCCTCCACCAAACTTGGCCGTCCTTCTCAATCCCACCGATGGACCTCTCTCACTTCTTGCGTTGGTTTTTACGATGGTCGGAGGCTGTTCCCGTCACACTTTTCCTTCTGTGTGTGTGTGTCTGTGTGTGTCTGTGTGTGTGTGTGTGTCTGTGTGTGTCTCTGTGTGTGTGTGTCTGTGTGTGTGTGTCTGTGTGTGTCTCTCTGTGTGTGTGTGTGTCTCTGTGTGTGTCTGTGTGTGTGTGTGTGTCTGTGTGTGTCTCTCTGTGTGTGTGTGTGTCTCTGTGTGTCTCTGTGTGTGTGTGTGTCTCTGTGTGTGTGTGTGTGTCTCTGTGTGTGTGTGTGGTCTTCCCTTACACACGGAATTCCCCGTGCGGTGGCCGCTGTCCGTGGATCTGCTCCTCGCTGGATTCCCGGTTCCTTTCCTCCCCGACGCTATTCTCTCTCTCTCTCCCTCTCCCCCTGTGTGTGTGTGTGTGTGTCTGTGTCTCTCTCTCTCTCTCTCTCTGTGGTTCCTGGAGCTGATGCTCTCCTCTCGCCGCCCCCAATGTGGACACTCCAACAGAACTCTCCACTGGAAAGTCCCCTCCGGTTCATCACAACTGAGGGGAATTCCCATGACGTCACTGCAACATGACCCCACCCCCCCCCCCCCCCCCACCCCCCCCCCCGGGGAGCAGGTCGGCCATCCTATTGGCTGTTGCGCTGCACGTCTGCAAATGTCTCCTCCCCCTTTTTGCTACAGGACTGAACACTCAATCCCCCCCCACCATCATCATCATCACCCCCCCACACCATCATCATCATCATCACCCCCCCACCATCATCATCATCATCATCACCCCCCACCATCATCATCATCATCACCCCCCACCATCATCATCATCATCATCACCCACCCACCATCATCATCATCATCACCCCCCCCATCCCACCCACCATCATCATCACCGCCACCCAACCCCATCATCACCCCCCCACCATCATCATCATCATCATCACCCCCCCCACCCACTATCATCATCACCGCCAACTAACCCCATCTCTTCCTCTTTATAAATAACGCGGTCACTCCAATCCAGGACTTGCTCGCGGGGGACCCCGTCGCGCGGAGAGACACTGGACGGCTGCCACGTCTCGCCCGGAAAATGAACTCACTAAAATTTACAGTAAGTACATCCTGTGGAGTTGCCTCGAGGAGTCTCGACGACCTGACAGGGTAACCATAATCAAACGCTAAGGATTTTTTTTAAACCGGGCATGAAACGATCATTCACAGGTCACGGCGACGGGCGGGGGGATTCCACGACCTTTGCCGACGCAAATCGCTGGTCAATAAATTAGCGCAAAGCAATTTTTTCACACAGTGACAAATTCTTAATTTCACCCCAATGTTAAATGTTATTTTAAGAACGGTTCCTGGTTATGAAGGAGCTGGAGCTGCGAGGCTGCTGTGGGAAGAAGCTGTGCTGAACAGTCCCGACCGAGAGCAAGCTCCACTCACCAACCTTTTCTGTCATTGCTAGCTCGATGAGTAACTGAGAGACTAAAAAGTAAAAAGATTTTTTTTTTTTAAAAATGCGGTCACTCAATCTACCACTGTTCGTGGGACACTGCCGTACCCAATTGGCTGCTGTGTTTCGCCCCCAAAATATACAGTCAACTCACTTTACTTGCTCAACAGTCAGGGTGTTGATTTGTCTTGAGATCAAAGATGTAATCCTTTCACTAAGTGTAAGACGTTTGTCAACATTTGTGTAAAATGGGATTTCCCATGGAAAATCTCACTACTCATAGTGAACAGAGCAGAACATCCTAAGAGAGGCTGTTAGGAGCCTGAATGAAGTTAAGCGGTTATCTTAGGATCACTGGTATAGTCTAACTTGCATGGCAATGCTACATATGAGCCAGTTATGCAAATGATATTAGCCATTTTAGTCAGGTTAACAAGAAATTGCCTCGAGACAAGTTATCTCTGCAAGAAATACACATCAGAGAAACATTCAATAAACACTCCTGCTGAAAGGATTAGGTGGCATGAGTGCAAAATCAGAGTCTCCCCTGAGCCCAGAGAGTAGATTTCCTTCTGCATGACCCTCATCTGTGACTACACTGTAATTGCAAGAAATGGACAAAGTGCCTTTTAAATGCTTCAAGGCTGGTACCAGCAACTGAAGATTTTTGCACAGGAAACAAAAAGATAGTGAAAACCTGTGTGGCAGAAATAACTATAGCAACTTGCATTTATACAGCACCCTTTAATAACAATCCTTGCATTTGATATAGCAGCTTATCACATTGTTGAGCTATCTCAAAGCACTTCAAAAGATATACTGATAAGGAAATTGACTGTTTATTTTGTGGACTTTACCTTAATAATATCTCAGAGTACTTTACAATGACGAGGTCAGAGGCAGATGTTGGCAGGGCCGAGGAGAATGGCTTCCATCTCGCCTGTGTTGTAATGATTCTCAATCCATAAAACCGGTCTTCTGATTTAAATAAATCCTTTATTCTTAGTTTCCAACCATAAACCCACACCAGTTGGTCTCCCAGAATCCCTTTCTATACTTCCTGGTTTTCTTTCATTGGTTCCCAGTTACTTGTCTATTTACTTTAAAATGACACCTACAAGTTAGCAAGAGCCAAGACTTGGGGACTCCAGAGTGTGTGCTGGGGGTAACTGCTGGAGTCTAACCAACTAAAACTATTTAGCTTGCCATCGATAGCACTATCCGGCTGGGATCACACAGCTCAATAAGCCTCTGGCTTGCAGGGTTACTGGGAGCTGAGTGGAAAACCCCCCATATTTCTCTGATATCTTTAACATCTATCTAAACAGGCAGCCCTCTTGCCGCTGAGTCAGAAGGTTGTGGGTTCAAGCCCCACAATGGGACTTGGAATCACATAGTTGCGGTGCTGGCGGTGTCTGCATTGTTGGGAGGTGGTGTCCTTCGGATGAGCTGTTAAACTCTACTGCCTGTTCAGGTGGATATGAAGGGTGCTATATAAATGCAAGTCGGTGTTGACATTTCATGACCTGAACAACTTGAAAGGCACTACGCCGCAAAACTGTGGAACACTCCCCCTGAATCCCTCCGCCTTGCCCCCTCACTCTCCTTTTTCAAGTCCTGCCTGGGGAAAAAAATCATACATGTCTCACTGGAGAGGAGAATTTCACTGCCGGTATCATATCAATGTCCACACTGACTTCACCATTTCTGTTCTGTCGCTGTGGGTATGAATTAGCGATTGTCAAAGTCAATCTTCTTTTGACGGGGGAGGTAAGTGGGGGTCTTCTTGGAGCTGAACTGACGTGACATGCCTGGCAATGGAATATCGGAATCAAGCCCACCCTCTGTGACAGTCTCTAGTCCTGTTCCTGAGCCAGGCGGGTTTGAGGTATTCCAGGGCACTGATGATAACAGCCCAGCCTGGCTCATCGGCCGGATTTGGTAGGCAGACCAGTCACTGGGGGCAGGGAATCCTCCCACTCAGCTCCTGCAAGTCAAAGCCTTAACGGGTTAGGGTGGTCCTCGCTGGACAAGCAGCAGGAAAGCTTCCCGGCCGGACGGCGAAATCAACGGCGAGCTATGGGTTAGCCTCCAGCCGCTACTTTCGCCAACCAACGCCTTATGCTTCCCGTAATTAGGTATCGGGGTGCGTCCCTCCGGGGAGAGGTGCGGGAATTTCGAGGCACGGGAATTTCCACTTGTAGGTGACCGACGTATATGGAACTCGTCAGCCTGGTGATGGGTTTCAGATGTGTCAGACCAACGAGGGTTTCAAAGTCAATCACACCGCATCAGATCAATATTGCATTCAAAACCACTGAAAGATGACAATGCAAAAGCAGTGCCGCCCACCCACCCCTCCCCCCTCCATCATCACCAGCACCACCACCTCCCCCTCCTCCCTCCTCCATCATCACCAGCACCACCACCGCCCCCCCCCTCCATCATCACCAGCACCACCACCGCCCCCTCCTCCCTCCTCCATCATCACCAGCACCACCACCGCCCCCCCCTCCCCCCCTCCATCATCACCAGCACCACCACCGCCCCCTCCTCCCCCCCTCCATCATCACCAGCACCACCACCGCCCCCTCCTCCCCCCCTCCATCATCACCAGCACCACCACCGCCCCCCTCTCCATCATCACCAGCACCACCACTGCCCTCCCCCCTCCATCATCACCAGCACCACCACCGCCCCCCCCTCCCCCGCTCCATAATCACCAGCACCACCACCGCCCCCTCCCCCCTCCATCATCACCAGCACCACCACCTCCCCTCCTCCCCCCCTCCATCATCACCAGCACCACCACTGCCCCCCCCTCCCCCGCTCCATAATCACCAGCACCACCACCGCCCCCTCCTCCCTCCTCCATCATCACCAGCACCACCACTGCCCCCTCCTCCCCCCTTCCATCATCACCAGCACCACCACCGCCCTCCCCCCCTCCATCATCACCAGCACCACCACTGCCCCCTCCTCCCCCCTTCCATCATCACCAGCACCACCACCGCCCTCCCCCCCTCCATCATCACCAGCACCACCACCGCCCCCTCCTCCCTCCTCCATCATCACCAGCACCACCACTGCCCCCTCCTCCCCCCTTCCATCATCACCAGCACCACCACCGCCCCCCCCTCCCCCCTCCATCATTACCAGCACCACCACCGCCCCCCCCTCCCCCCCTCCATCATCACCAGCACCGCCCCCCCACCCCTCCATCATCACCAGCACCACCACCGCCCCCTCCTCCCCCCCTCCATCATCACCAGCACCACCACCGCCCCCTCCTCCCCCCCTCCATCATCACCAGCACCACCACTGCCCCCTCCTCCCCCCTCCATCATCACCAGCACCACCACCGCCCCCCCCTCCTCCCTCCTCCATCATCACCAGCACCACCACCGCCCCCCTGTGGCCGTGCGAGGTAATGAAACACAGCGCCTCCCTGTGGCCAGTCCACAAAAAGTTCCGCGGGGCACCGCCCTGCGGGGCAGGAGGTGGGGGGGTGGGGGGGGGGTGGGGGGGGGGGTGAGGCCTGATCCGGGCGGGTGAGGCCGGGAGCGGAGACTGGTTGAAGCCGTGAGGAGGAGGCGCTGTGACCCCCCCCCCCCCCCCCGCTGTGGGCAGACACTGAGCCCCGGTCTGGGCTACACTGTAGCTGTGAGGGGGAGAGGCGCTGCGCTGCTCCACTGTCCTAACGCCGTAAGTGTCGCTGATCACTGTGTTGCAATGTTAAGTCAGTAAAACAGCAATAACATCATCGTCGTCGTCGTCGTCATAATAATGATAATAGTAATGATAATGATAATAGTAATGATAATGATAATAGTAATGATAATAGTAATGATAATAGTAATGATGATAGTAATGATAATAGTAATGATAATGATGATAATTATCCCGGCATTTGATACAGCGCCGTGTCAAGTCGTTGAGACGTCTCTCAAACGGCTTCGCCCAACCGATTGTAAAGTGGATTGATGGTATCTTGCGTGGTGATCGCCGCGGTCCATCGTGCACGGCAGTGTCCCACAAACAGTCGTGGATGGAGTGACTAAATTTTGTTATGTTGCACTTAAAGGGATTTTTTCCCCCCGGGAAAGCGATCCGCCAATTGACTAAAAAGCGGGTTCCCACTTACTGCTGGGAATCAGGAGCGTGCGGGTTAAGGAAACTTGCTCGAGGTTTTTGCAACAACAACAACTCGGCACAATGAAATAGCACAACCTTCAGCCACTCCGGTTCAGCCTCTCTGGTTCATTCCCACTCTCTCTTGCTTCGTTGTCTGTACAGCACAAGCATTCGGGAACGTTTGTGAAAATCCTTATTTGTCAATGGGATCAGATGACTTTTTGTTTGCCCTGTCCAGCTGCAGTGACGTTCGAGTTTATTTTAATTGAATCAAATGCAACGTTTGTTCTGCTTGAAATAAAAGGTATCCTATTCAATTTTGCAGGGTCTTTAAAACATTTTTTAAATCTGGTCCTGATTTTAAACTCCTTTTCGTGTTCACAGCTTGTCTCTCTCTGTCCCATCGCCTTCAACAACAACTTACAGTTATATAGCGCCCTTCACAAAGCTCTCTGAAAATCTCTCTTTCAAAATCTCTTTGTATGTGTGGCTTTCCTGCTCACTGTGGGGCTAATAATAATCATAATAATCCTTGCATTTGTTATAGCACCTTATCACATTGTTGAGACGTCTCAAAATGCTTCACATGTTATATTGTAAAGTGGATTGACTGTTTATTTTGTGGGCAAAACGTGGCAGCCAATGCACACAGAAGTGTCCCACAAACAGTTGTGGATTGAGTGACCAAATTATTTTTGAAGCCATTATTGCCCTAAAAAATAGTAATGGGTGCGTGGAGCCAGTGTGGGGTAGGGTAGAGAGTTTTTACACAACCGCTATTTCTGGCAGGATCATGAAAACAAACTGCACCTGACACAAAAGTGTTGGTCCCATGCACAACACAGGGACAGACTATTCAAAACCTCTTTGTCCAGAGACAGCAGTACATGAAACGCGCTATACAAATGTAATTTGTTGTTGGTTTTGTTTCCCTGGCATCCACCCTATGTCCTTTAAAGTGAATTAGCCTGTTCAGCAGGTCTGTCAGTTAAAAATATTTGCCTCACTGTCGGTTAAAAATAGGTTGCCCCACTCCCCTCATCATTGCTCTGGTTGCTGTTGTAAGCTTCTGAAGCAGTGAATGTGCCTGTTCTCGGGATCCTGGCTTTAATTATCATTCAGGTTTCGAGTCTTCTTCTTTTGTAAGTACAAAGCTTAAATGTTCCTTTATTTATATCCCTCCCTCAGCGTGGTTTTGTGCCATACCAAGTCCTGGTCTAAACTCTGATAGCTGTTGGCAAGGCAGCAACTGGATTAGAACTGACTTAATGTAATATATATATATATATACGCACACACATATATTTTCCCGGGCAGGACAAAACCTTAGGCAAGTTTTCTTACACCACACACCTCTGTTTACCTAGCAATAAGTAGGAACCCGGTTGTTAGTCGATTGGCGGATCGCTTTCTGGGGATAATAATCTCTCTAAAAAAAGAAAAAAAAATTGGTCACTAAATCCACTTCTGTTTGTGGGACACTGCTGAGCACAGTTGGCTGCTACATTTCACCCACAAAACATGCAGTCAATGCACGTTACAGTGTAGCCTGAGAGTTGCTTTGAGACGTTTCAACGACGTGATGAGGCTCTATATCAAATGCAAGGATTATTATTAATCATATATATATCTCTCTGGGTTAGGGAGAGTGGAATTCAATCCCATTCCTGATCAATAAATTAGAGACCGACCCTATGCTATACCATGCAGGTGGTTGTCAGATGAGGACGGGATTGTGTTTATTGAATTTTTTTGACAAATCTTGAAATAAATATGACTGTTAAGAGCAGGTGGACCTGGATTAACATAGTGCCCTTTCACTTCTGGGGATTGGGTTTCAATCCAGCCCAGACTGCTGGGATGAAGGCCTCCTTTGCTTGATTTGATTTGGATCCTCTTAAGCATGGTGTCAGCTCCCCGGCTGATCATAAGAAAGGTTGCCTGCAACATGTGCTGTAAGTGAATGACTTTTAGGACTGTCTCCACCTGCTTGTGATCTTAATTGTCATTATGAAACTCTGCAAGGCAGTCACCCTTCGTGAAAGGTGCTGTATAAGTGCAATAATAATAATCCTGATATTTGACATAGCACTTTACCACATGATACAACTGTGTCCCACAAACAGCAATGGAGTGATTGACCAATTTTGTATGGGGGATTGTTGGTCAGGGAGAGAGAAACTCTCTTCTCTTTTCGTGTGATCTTTAACTTCCACCTGAACAGGCAGATCGGACCTTAGTTTAACGTCTCAGTTGTTGTTTGTGTAAAAAGAAGTCACTGTTTTGTATCTTTCAGTTCTGTTGGGCACTTCTTGATGCCCAGTGGTTTGGAGACGGTAGAGAATGGCGGCAGATGCAGCAAGAGTGGCTCGGATAGTGAACGAGGCGGTGGAGGAAGGCAGCAGCTCCCTTGGTAAGTAAGCTCACTGCTCGGAGCAGAGTGTCTGAATCCAGGAGTGCTCAGGAGTATTGGGGACTCAATAAGAACATAGGAAGGAGGAGGCCATTCAGCCCCTCAAGCCTGTTCTGCCATTCTATTGGATAATAGCTGATCTGATCGGAGCTGATTCAACTCCATTTACCCGCCTTTGCTCCATATCCCTTTCTACTCTTCCCTAACAAAAATCTATCCACCTCAGTCTTGAAAATTTGAATGGATCCAGCAGCCTTAGCCTTTTGGGGGAGAGTTCTAGATTTCCACCACCTTTTGTGTGAAAAAGTGCTTCCTGATTTCACTCCTGAATGGCCCTTGTTCTGGATTTTAAGATGGTGCCCCTCGTTCTGGATTTCCACACCAGAGGGAATAGTTTCTCTGCAGCTGCCCTGTCAAGTCCCTTTATCATTTTAAACGCCTCAATCAGATCACCCCTCAACCTTCTAAACTCAAGGGGAATACAAGCCATGATATGCAACCTGTCTTCATAATTTAACCCTTTAAGCCCTGGTATCACAGAGAGTGTGCATTGCATTCCAACATTTTATCGCTGGAATTTCCACGTGTAGGTGGGATGTATGGAATTCTCAGCTTGGTTTGGACACTCTTAAGCATAGATTTTTTTTACCATCTTAATATTCAGTTATCTTCTCCCCTTTTTTTTCAGATCTGGGGAACTGCAAATTAAATATCTTTCCGGTGGCTCTGTTTAAAGTCATGAGGAACATAAAAGAGAATATCCACTATATTTCCCTGGCAAACAATGAGATGAAGTCTGTCACGAGTGAATTCATCTCCAACTTCAAACAGTTACGAGGTAACGCCTTTCCTCATTTATATCAGGAAATAGGTACTGACCCTGTGCTCATGATCTGTTCAGAGTTCCTCCCTCAGTGCTTTGAGAGTTGTGTTGCTGGCATTTCACCAATTCTGTCCTCTCAGAGTTAAACCTGGAGGGTAACTCCCTGAAGCAGCTCCCTGATGCAGTGATGTCTTTGATGCACTTGACGGCCATTAATCTGGCGAGGAATAAGTTCTCCGTCTTCCCAGAGCAGCTCACGGAGGTGAAGACACTAGAGAACATCAACCTGGAGGAGAATCAGATCGTGGGTATGTTGTGTGTGCAGAGTGGGCATGCAGGGTGATTTTATTCCTTTAGGGTTTATTTGAACCGTAGAGTAACTTTGAGAAAAGTAAACACCCGGTTTAGTTTAAATCAAGTGTTACTTTATTAAGATTAAGGAGCATGTTAATACAATTGCAATAGCGGAGTGCAGTTCAGAGCTGACGGATGATCAAGTCAGTATCGCTGGGAACAGACCATGTCCTGATCTGTTTTGAGTGCGTCAGTTCTTATGTTGATGGACAAATCTTTTTCTTGTAACTGTTTGACTGTGGATCTTGCTCTCCTGATTGTCCGTTGGAAGCTTGGAGACTTAAATGTCTCATCTGAAGGCACCTCTATCAATGCAGCGCACCCCCAGCACTACACTAGATTACGTCAGCCTAGATTACGTGAATTCAAAGTCCTGATGTGGGGTTTGAACCCACGATTGTTTGACTCAGAGGCGAGAGTGCTACCACTGCACCAGGCTGACACTGTGTGCTGGTTAATCTGCTGAAATTTCATGCGGAAATGCAGAAAATATGATAGAGTTGAGTGTGATTTTTCTTTCTGTCTTTCAGAGGTGCCTGTGGAGAAGATTAGGTCTTTGCCATCCCTGAAGATCCTCAACCTGAAGTCTAACCCTTTGAGCACAGAGGCCTTAGCCATGTGTCATTCAGACTCTCAACATCATATCCTGACAGTCACAGATCAAAAAGCACAATAATAATCCTTGCATTTGATATAGCTCCTTATCACATCTTCAAGACATCACAAAGCACTTTACAGGATATACTCTAAGGTGCAGTGAGTGTGTATTTTGTGGGCGAAACACGGAAGCTAATTGCACACAGCAGTGTCCTACAAACAGTCGTGGATTAAGTGACCAAATTATTAGTATTTTTCTTGAGGGATTATTACCTCCCAGGTTCACTAATCGATTAACAACCAGGTTCCTACTTACTGCTAGGTAAACAGAGGTGTGTGTGTGTGTGTGGAGTAAGCAAACTTGCCTAAGGTTTCCCTGCCCTGGAATGGAACCTGGATCGTCTGGCTTGTGAGGTAAGCATGCTAATCACTGTGGTACAGGATAATAAGGATTTAGAGTTAGAGATGTAATTTGGAAGTGGAAAGAAAAGACAGTGTAATCTTTCCTTTTAAAAATTAAAAGGGATTATGTTCCTGTCCCACAATTTGGGGAAACGCTTCCCTGACAGAGAGATTTTGTAGATCTTTGTCCTCTGCAAAAATTCATTTTTTAGTTTGAAAAACACACAGCAATTGCAATAGCGGAAAAGCTGTTTCAGTGGGATTGAATGAGCGGCCTGCTCTGAGAGCTGGCATAGACTCAATAGGTTGAATGGCCTCATTGTGCGCTGCAAGTGTCTATGACTCTATGATCCGGGGATTGTATTTCTCAAGTGCTCTCTTCCTCCTTTATTTAATTTTTTTCTAGCAGATTGCCACACAACCACTTTTCGCTTCATGGCTGTTTATGAGACATTGGTCGTGTACAAATTGGCTGCTGCGTTCACCTATAATAAAAATACATTCACTGCAGTTCACAGTGCATCCTCCTGCTGGTAAAGGCATCACACTGAATGCAAGCATTGTGCAGTTTACATTAATTTATATAGTGCCTTTTGCAATGGGAGGATGTCTCATAATGCTTCCCACTGCTGGATGGACATCAGAGATTGGAACAGGATGGGGACAGCCTTAACATTTAACAGATTTCACAGAGGCTACAAAGCACACGCTTGCTCAGGGTTGGAGATTAAGCAGCAGAACATTGGAAATTACAATTCAACACAATCCAATTCAATAATCTAGAGAGAATCTACAGGGTGTCCACAAAGTCCTGTCTTTTTTTCTCCAATGCACTGACCACCAACTGAAACACTTGTGGAAGGATGATGATAATTGTATTTAGAAGTACTTAATTGTATTCAGTGCAAGTGTTTTACTGTATTTAGATGTCCAGAGGATCGGTCTGAATGAGCGCCATAATTTTCATGATAATAATCCGTCGCCACTGTTCAGTGACATCTTCCGTTAACATGGGATGGAGTGAGAAGGAAGTTACTGGTGTCAAGACATTGTTGCACTCCACTCACCTACAACAGAAAATAAAAATTAATTGTAAAAAGAACATAGAGTGGGTGGGGGAATTCCTACATGCACTGTTTATTCTTGCGTAATGCCGGCGTCAGTTAATGTTTTATTGCTGGAATTCGCGCCAGGTTTAAGGAATGAGTGGAAAATCTTCCGTTATTGATTGAGAAAAGCTGACATTGTTTGCAAAACAAAGTGTTGCACTTGGAAATGTTTCTGAATTGTATTCACTTCTTGCGGGTTTACAATAAAATGACGCTTTTATGGATTAAGATGTGAGTAATTGAACAAAAAGTATTTCAGTAGATGGGAATTAAGCACAGATATGACCACTCTGTGTCAGAGATGCAGTCAGTTTACTGTATATTCACTATGTATATTCAGTTTACACACTCCATAGGTCACTGGATAGTGCTCAAATATGGAACTAATAAAAATAATAATTCTTGCTTTTGGTATAGTGCTTTATCATATTGTTGAGACATCTCAAAGCGCTTCACACGATATACGGTAAAGTGTAGTGACTGTATATTTTGTGGGAGAAACGCCGCAGCCACTTGCGCTGGTACATTTGATACCGTGACTTTTACATTGGGGAGGACATCTCAAAGCAAAATATCAAATGCAAGGATGATGATCATTATTATCGTCGTCTGCAAAGTGCAGTGACCGTTTTCTATGTTGATGAGCAAGGGTAAAGACCTTGCTTGGTTGTGGTTTGCTGAACGCAACCGAAATGTGTCCGTGCTGTCGGGGCTGTTGTGGGAAGGAATGAGCTCCCGGCCGTCAGTTTGTCCCACAAGTTGTCCCGCAAGTTCTTGTCCCGCCTCGCTTGCTGGATCCGGATTTATTCAGCATCCTGGTGAGTATCAGCGCGGGGCAAGGTCCAGCCGATCTCCTGATCGTCACGCGGAGTAAGCAGGTATCGCACATTATAATCTCTCGCGCCCTCCAGGCCCGAGATGACAATAAACTGCTCGGTCATCCTCGCGTTCACCAGCCTCCCTCGTATCGCCGCGTCACCCTGAGGTCCTTTGCCGCGTCGCACCCGATCAATACTTTAATATTTGTGTGCGAGGATGGGTACGGTCTCCGGTGGCATTGTGTCACAGTCACATTTTATGCTTTGGAGGATGATGTGTGGATACCCAATAGATGGGGAGGAGGAGGGTTTGTTAATATGGCAGATTCCTGTACGGTGTGTTACTTTGGGCGGCTTTTGGGGGCTATTTTAGGCTATGTCGGGCGGCTTTTGGGCTATTTGGGGCGGGGCTTGTTCGGGCTATTTTGCGGTCGTCCGCGGGCTATTTCGTGCTATTTCGGCGTTCGTTCGGGCGGCTTTGGGCTACGAACGCCTTCCGATTTCCGGCCGCCGCGGCCCCGGTCCCGCCCTCCTGCCCCGAGAGCCGCGCGCGCACCGCCGGTCCCCGCCACACAGCGCCCGGCAACCGACATGGCCGCGTATCGCAGTGAGGAGCGCGGCTGCCGCAACTCCCTGAGTTACCGCATGTTCCTGAGTGAGTGAGTGAGGGAGGGAGGGAGAGGGGGAGAGGGGGGGACCCCCCGGGCTCCGGCTGCCGGTGCCCGACCCCGGGGGCGGCCACGTGTGCAGCAGCTGCCACCCACCCACCCACCGCCCGGCACCGGCACCGGCAGCGCCGCCCGCACTCCGGCAACTCGGTCACTCGCTCAGTCTCGTGTCGGCAATGATCATCGTTGCATTGTGTGCGCAGCGCCTCTCGTCGGGTCTCGTTGCGACGCCTCTCCGCCCATCGACCGCAAACGGTTCCGCTTCTCGTTGTTGTTGTTGTTGTTGTTGCCGCCGCCGCCGCCGTTGTTGTTGTTGTTGTTGTGGAGACGCTTTTCCGCTCCGTTTCTTGGCAGATGGTCCTTTCGCGGAGGTCAGTGCGGATGGACCTGGTTTGCTGTGTGTGTTATTTAGCCCAGACAGCACCGTGCCTCACCCCCCCCCCCCTGTCTGTCTGTCTGTCTGACTGACTGTCTGTCTGACTGACTCTGTCTGACTGACTGACTCTGTCTGTCTGACTGACTGACTCTCTCTCTGTCTGACTGTCTGTCTGACTGACTGACTCTCTGTCTGACTGACTGACTCTCTGTCTGACTGACTGACTCTCTGTCTGTCTGACTGACTCTCTGTCTGTCTGTCTGATTGACTGACTCTCTGTCTGTCTGACTGTCTGACTGACTCTCTGTCTATCTGTCTGACTGACTGTCTGTCTGACTGACTGACTCTCTGTCTGTCTGACTGACTGTCTGACTGACTCTCTGTCTGACTGACTGACGCTCTGTCTGTCTGACTGACTCTCTGTCTGTCTGACTGACTGACTGACTCTCTCTGTCTGACTGACTCTCTCTGTCTGACTGACTCTCTCTGTCTGACTGACTCTCTGTCTGTCTGACTGTCTGTCTGTCTGACTGACTCTGTCTTTCTGACTGTCTGCACAGGAGTGAATGTGTTGGAGGGGCTGAATGGTGCTGCTGTCAATGGGGCTATTGATTAACCTGCAGTGAGTGAGAGTGGGGGTTGTGTGTGTAAAACATCCCAATTTACAACTGCTTTCCTTTTCCAGAAAACTCAGAGGGCGTTTATATCTCTCCATTCCACGACATACCATTGTACGCGGATCCAAGTCAGGTAATTTCATTTCAATGTCTCCCTCTTCCCTTCTCCCTCTCCCTCTTCCTCCCTGAGAGGATTCAAAGGTTTTTTCCCCCCCTCTTGCGTAAACAGAACGTATCTCTGATGTACTTTGTACCATAGCACTAATTCTTGCATTTGATATTGCCTTATTACATCGTCGCCCTGTCTCCAAGGATGTACTGTAAAGTGGAGTGACTGTGTTTCGTGGGCGAAACACGGCAGCCAGTTTGCACATAGCAATGTCCCACAACAGTCATGGAGTGAAAAATCTTGTGACGCCCTCCACCCCTTCGAAATATGTTGCCGACGTGATAAGGTGATACAACACATCCAAGGACGATTATTTTAATCAGATGTAGGATGGCTGGAAGTGAAATCAAGAAACATTTCTTCACGCAGAAAGCTATGAATGTATAGAACGCACAGTCCCAGGAGGCTGTAGAGGCAGAATCCATTGAGATATTTAAAAGGGAGATAGATATTTGGGATGTACAACACACCTGTTATGTACCATGTGTGTGTGTGCTATACTCTGTGTGCGTCGCCCGGGGCGGCCGCGAGTCGCCCCGGGTGCCCGCGCGTCGCCCCGGGTGTACATGGAGTCCAGTAGCGTAGTGGTTAGCGCGCTCGCCTTGCAAGGAGAGGATCCAGGTTCGATTCCCCGCCTGGGCGAACCCTTGGGCTAGTAGTTTCCTTACTCCACGCGCCTCTGTTTACCTAGCAGTAAGTTGTAACTTTGTTGTTAGTCGATTGATGGTTCGGTTTCTGGTGGTTACATTTTGTTCACTCAATCCACGACTGTTTGTGGGACACTGCTGCACAGAATTGGTTTCTGAGTTTCATCCACAAAATACAGTCAGTCCACTTTACAATATATTCTATGAAGCACTTTGAGACGTCTCAACAACATGATAAGGTGTATCAAATACGTGTATTATTGTTATTATTAGTAGTAGTGGAGTCCTGTAGCTCAGTGGTTAGAGCACTCGCCTTGCAAGCGAGAGACCCGAGTTCAATTCCAGGCAGAGGGCGAAACCTTGGGCAAGTTTTCTTACTCCACACAGAGCCTAATAATAATCCCTCCAAAAAAACCAATAATAAATTGGTCATTTTCAATCCACGACTGTTTGTGGGACATTGCTGTGCGCAATTGGCTGTCGCGTTCGCCCACAAATATACAGTCAATTCACTTTACAGTATATTCTGTGAAGCGCTTTGGGACGTCTAGAGGACGTGAAAAGCACTATGTCAAATGCAAGGATTATTATTAGTCGTAGTAGTAATAGTATGTAAGAGTGTAGAGGGGTGTGGGGAAAAGGCTGAGAAATGGGATTAAGAGATCTACTGAGATGCTCTGAATTGTTACGGTCTGGAACGCACTGCCTGAGAGGGTGGTGGAAACCGATTGAATAACAAAGTTCAAAAGGGAATTGGATAGGTACTTGAAAAAGAAAAATTTGCAAAGATATGGGGAAAGAGCAGGGGAGTAGGACTGATTGGGTAGCTCTTCTAAAGAGCTGGCACAGGTATGATACACTGAATGACCTCCTTCTGTGCTGTAATATTCTATGATTCTATGAGATCCAATAAACTGGTGGAACAGCCTCAAATCAAAGGTGTTTTATTCAGGAAGTGTTTCTAACCGGACACCAATAACAGAGCAGTGAATGGGTCAGCTCTCAGAACAACAATTTTCCTATTCCCTTTCCCCGAGTATTTCCCACATTTATTTTTATTTACAATCAGTGTTTAGCCTGGAAAATAAGACTGCAGGCAGGAGGTGCTTTGATAGAACAGGGCAACTTGTTTCAATTAGAAGTGTATTTGGAGTGTTTCTGACACGAGCTCCACCCAATAATAATGTGGTCACTAAATCTATGACTGTTTGTGGGACATTGCTGTGCCCAATTGGCTGCTGTGCTTCACCCAACAAATAAACAGTCAGTATATTTTGTGAAGCCCTTTGAGACATTATTATTATTAAATTTCTTAGTCCCGTTCCTACTGGGGTTGTCAGCTATCTAGCTTTCTCCTTTTGATATTATCACTGCACTTTCCTCCGTGTGGTGCAAGTCATCTAAGCCCTTTGCCAAGGCTTGCATTGATCTGTATTGATCTTCATTTGCCAGTCATCAGCCCATGTTCCTGCCCCATCAGACTATCTTGGTCCAGACGTGAAAAGCGCTATATCAAATGCAAGGATTATTATTATTATTGGTCGGACTTTTGCTGCCTCCTCTGATTCCACAGTCCCCCTCTCCCCACCGCCCGCAGCTTGGTGTCTCATCTACTCTTTATGGTGCATTTATATGGCAGATCGTTTTTCTTAGGTTCTTTTCCCCCGCTCCCCTCTCTTAAATCGTGTCCAGACTTCCAGCCATCATGTACCATATTATGCAATAAAACACTATCGCGAGATGATATTCTACGTGAAAGGCGCAATATAACTGCAAGCTGCTGTTGTTGTGGGTTAGTGCGGATATCCAGAATGAGAAGTATTAATTTGCAGTAATGATGGTAATCAGGGAAAGAGAGGGAGAGAGAGTGCACATTCCATTCTAACAGTCTATCTTTGAAATTTCCATATGTCGGTGGGATGCATGGAATTCTCAAGTTTGGTTCGGAGACTCTTCAGCACGGTGATGGGACACTGCTGTGCGCAGTTGGCTACACTTGTCCGACACTTGGCTGACCAAAACGTTTTTTAGAAAAACAAATCATAGGGACTGGTTTTAAGGCACAGCCCTGTTGGTGAGGCTTCATGTCCTCTGAATATAGTGTCGTGATCCACACCACAATTGTCCCCAGATGGTGTGGGTTGGTGGCATCCCACCCATTAGAGACGGCTACTGTTGGTTTGAACTGGGGATGAAAAGGTTTGCGATGTAATAACAGGGTGTCAGGAATACACCCCCAACTGTTGGGAGCTTCAAAGCTGCCACACAGCTATTTCAAGAGAGTTTTCACAGCAAAAGTTTGATAATTTAAGGGCCTGGGAAAGAATCTGGGTTCTAATTACCTCCAATTGAGAGTATTAGAGAGTCCAGTGGGAAGAGCTCTTGGTTGAAGGAAATTTGGCTGTAAGTCCTAAGACTACCAAACAAAACTTGTTCTAGTCAGGGAGATATTATAAAGACACGTTTCAGCATTGTGGAGCATAATCTTTTGAGGTAGATACGTGTGGTTAAGCATTCAGGGACACACCCAAGTATTTAGGCTATGAAATCTATACTCAGCGTTTCATCTCCAGCTCTTTTTTTCCCAGCTCCTCAAATTGGTTCTCCTCAGTCTTTCCTTCCTTCCATTCTACACTCTGTAGGCTTTAAACCCCAACCTAACCTCTACTTCTTGGAGTCCTGTAGCGTAGTGGTTAGGACACTTGCCTCGCAAGCGAGAGGAGCTGGGTTCGATTCCAGGGAAGGGTGAAACTTTAGACAAGTTTCTTTACTTCACACGCCTCTGGTTACCTAGCAGTAAGTAGGAACCTGGTTGTTAGTCAATTGGTGGATCGCTTTCCGGGGGTAATAATCCCTCCCCTACCACACAAAAAAGTTCCCTTAATCGACAACTGTTTATGGGACATCACTGTGCACAATTGGCTGCAGTGTTTCGCCTACAAAATAGTCAATTCCCTTTACAGTATATTCTGTGAAGCGCTTTGAGATGTCTCAATGACGTGATACGGCGCAACAATTAATTGCAACAATTATTATTATGATTATTTCTCCAGTGGTGCTTTGATTAGAAACCTGCCCATTTCCCATTGTGTAATAGGCCTAAACACAATTCTATTCCAGAAATCGTAACTTTCGTGCTGAACCTTATTGTTCCTGTCTATTTGTCTTCTTGACCTCTGGTTCCACTATTAAAAAATGTTCCCATTTCCTCTCCTGGGTTTTAAGCAATTCAATTGTTTTGTTTCTGCCCCTCCTCTTTCTTTCACACAAGTTTAGCCAGGGTCCCCAAGCCTCGAATAAAATGAGTGTGGCGTTATTTTATCTCCAGAGGTCATCTTGGGAGTGGGCGTGGACTTTGAAAGACCAAACAAGTGGAAATTCCCTATGTATTTTTGATGAAGTAACGGAAAGGGTGGATGAAGGTAGTGCAGTTGATATTGTTTATATGGATTTTCAAAGGGCGTTTGATAATGTGGCACATGAGACAATAGAAGTATTAAAGGGACAGTGGCAGCGTGGATACAGAACTGCCTGGGAGACAAAAGCAGAGATGGTGGTGAACAGTTGTTTTTCTGACTGGAGGTAAGTGTGCAATGGTGTCCTCAGGGATCAGTATTGGGACTACTTCTGTTTTAATCTATATAATTGACCTGAATTTTGGTATAGGGAGTACAATTTCCAAGTTTGCAGATGATACTAAGCTAGGAAAAGTAGTAAACAGTGAGGAGGATAGTAGCAGACTGCAAATGGACATAGACAGACCGGTGAAATGGGCAGACACATAGCAGATGAAGTTTAATGCCTTGGGACGTCCTTCCAATGTGAAAGGCGCTATACAAATGTAATGTTGTTGTTGTTGTAATGTAGATAAATGCGAGGTGATGCATTTTGGGAGAAAGAATGAGGAGAGGCAACATAAGCTAGATGGTACAATCTTAAAGGTAATGAAGGAACGGAGAGACCTGGGGGTTCATATAAGTAAATCTTTGAAGGTGGCAGGACAGGTAGATAAAGCTCTTGAAAAAGCATACGAGATACTAGGTTTTATAAATCGGGGCATAGAATACGAAAGTCAGGAAGTTATGATGAACCTTTATAAAGCACTGGGCACCACACTGTAGGAAGGATGTCAAGGCATTGGAGAGGGTGCAAAGGACCTTTACCAGGATGGTACCAGGAATGAGGGGTTTCAGTTATCAGGAGAGGCTAGAGAAGGTGGGATTATTCTCCTTGGAGCAGAGAAGGTTAAGAGGAGATTTAATAGAAGTTTTCAAAATTATGAAGGGTTTCGATAGAGTGAACAAGGAGAAAATAATTCCACTGGAGGATGGATCAGTAACCCGAGGACACAGATTTAAAATAGTTGTTAAAAGAAACAAATGGGAGGTGAGGAGAATTTTTTTCACACAGCGAGTTGTTCGGATCTGAAATGCATTGCCTGAAAGGGTTAGTGGAAGCCGATTTGATAACAACTTTTAAGAGAGAAGTAGATAATTATTTGGGGAGGACAAGTTGAGGGCTATGGGGAGAGAGCGGGGGAGTGGGATTGAATTGAATAGTTTTTTTCAAAGAGCCGGCGTGGACATGATGGGCCGAATGGCTTCTTTTTGTGTCGTATAATTCTGTGATTTTTTGATCTGTGGAATTCTCAAACTGTTTTTGGAGACTCTAAAGCATGGCCATGGGTTTTCATGTGTCAAGATACCTGGCTGACCAAAAATTCCCCTTTTTTCAATAGGAACAAATTGCCCTCTTGTATCAAAGCCCACCCTGTCCCGTCTGTCGTCTTATTTTCTGACCAAACATTGATTATAAATAAAAATAAACATGAGGAATACTGTTATTGGTGTCCTGGTCAGAAATGCTTCCTGAATAAAACACCTTCTGTTCAAAAGAAATGAGGTGATAAATACGAGAGGGGGAGGAAGCCACACTGCCTGGTGAGCCCACTCCACCATCAGCCCTAATAGCAACTCTAGTTCCATTTCACTGCCTTTAATTTGTGTCCTTTAATTTAATTAATCGCTCTCTTGTTGCCTTTTAATATCAACAACAACTTGCATTTATATCCTGCCCTTCATGTGGACCAGCATCTCGCTTAACAGCGAGTACCAAACAGTAGTGGTGCCTGACTGAGCCGGGAGGAGGTGACCGTAAGTCCGGTCGAAGAGGAAGGTCTTCAGGCATGATCTAAGAGAGGGGAAGGACGGAGCAAGGCAGAGAGATTGGGGGAGAGAGTTCCAAAGCTTTGGGGCGAAGTGGCTGAAAGCACGGCTGCCAATGGTGGAAGGGACAAGCATGTGGCAGGAGATGCTACCCTGTATGAACAGTGCTATATTAATGCAAGTTGTTACAACCATAACTCTGATTGTCTATATGTATAAGGCTGAAATGACGAGGCAGAGATTACTGCTCACTGATGCTCTGCTTTCTGTCGAGCCTCGTCCATGAGATGTTCATTGACTTGTCATACATTAATGTAGGACTGAATAGTACGGAGCCTGCTCTCACTTCACTGTTGATTGGAGCTGTGGTTTTCTTGTGGGCCGGGATTCCACAAATAAACTTGTGGAAACCACACGAGTTGGATCGTGGACAAAGAAACTTAGAAAGTTTAGAGCACAGAAGCAGGTCAATCACCCCATTGTGTCTGTGCTGGTGCTCACTCCCTCACTGGAGCTCTCCACTCAAATCCCATTCTCCACTCCAGTCTCTCTGCTCTTTCCTCAGATATCAAATGCAAGGATTATTATTAATATTATACCCTTTAATAGTATTCTGCCGGAAGTGTTTGGATGTGGACAGTTCCTGCAGAGGCCATGTAGGATGTGGGGGGAGGGGGATGTCATTAACTTCCTGAATGTTTGGCAACCACAATCTTTGGAATTGCCCTTCAGATGAGTTAATTGATGTCAAGGTACTCAGGTTGAGTGTCAGAGACCAAATGGAACCTCTCAACAACTTGTTTTTGTTGTTGTCACTGCTCGTAACTCGAGTGGATGTAGCAATGGTTATAGATTTGCCAAACGTTACAGCACAGAAAGGGGCTGTGCTGTTGCTTCTCTCCACGCGAGCTACCCAAACTGGGTAGCTTGTTAGCCTCGCAGACCCAGGATTGATTCCCGGCCAGGCCGAAACCTCAGGCAAGTTTCCTTACTCCACACTCCTCTGTTTATCTAGAAGTAATCAGGAACCACTTGTTAGTCGATTAGCGGATTGTTTTCCGGGGGTAATAATCCCTCTAAAAAGTCCCCACCCACCCCCACAGGAAAAACAATGTGGTCACTCAATCCATGACTGTTTGTGGGACACCCCCTCGTGCAGTTGGCTGCCACGTTTCACCCACAAATACACAGTCAATCCATTTTACAATATATTCTGTGAAGAGCTTTGAGACGTCTCAACAACATGATAAGGTGCTGCATCAGATGCAAAGATTAGTATTGTTATTAAGCAGACATTGATCAGGTTGCCTCTTAATATTTTGACCTACAGTGGAAAATCCCTATATTCTTGTTGCAAGTGTAGTCGCAAGTTTAGATGAAGCAATAATGTTTCCAAACATCCTATGCTTTCTGTTTGCATTGTCTCAGGTCAGCACTGCATGGCGCAATCAGCCTCGCCACACAAAGGTTGAGACATCACTCAGTTGCTGCAAATGCTTTCAATAGCGTTTACCTAATCAGCGGAGGATATTTTTGTCCTTCGAAGTGCTGTAATCTTAATCTGTGCAGTGGGGGAGCTAGGGTGCTGTCCTGAGCTAAATTGGATTGCTGCTTCAGATCGTATAGGCTTTGATGAGCTTGGCTACTAAAATCGTGGAATCCTGTAGCATAGTAGTTAATGCACTCGACTCGCAAGCGAGAGGACCTGGGTTTGATTTCCGGGTGGGGCAAAACCTTAGGCAAGTTTCCTTAACCCACATGCCTAGTTTATCTAGCAGTAAGTAGGACCTTGGTTATTAGTTGATTGCCTTTAAGACGTCTCAACGATGTGATAAGGCACTATATCAAATGCAAGGATTATCATAAGAAAAGGTTATGTCTGTCTTTGTGAGGATTGTGCTTAGCTTTCTGCAGCTTGAGCTGAGCACTTCCTGTGTGGCCACCCACTCATGTAATTGGCTATGCAAAAGCTTTGAGCTGTAACTGATCACTTGCCGGTGCCGAAAGCTGTGGTTTATTGCAGGTCTTTACTGGAAATTCCGTAAAGCACCTTGAGACTTCCTCAAAGTGAAAGGCACAATATCAAATGCCAGTATCACAGTAAAATTCACTTAAGGTGTATCAGTGGGGCTATAACATTTAATATGACTCGCATTGAGTCAAAGTTGTAGGCAAACTGTAGAAGTCGTATAAAATCCGATTTAATCAATAATCAACACTGCGCATGTGTAATTTAATTCAGCCGCTAAGTGCACATGCAGCGACGGGTCAAGACTGTTTCTCCAATTCATTGTGTTTTGACCCGTCACCGCAGGCACCCATACCAGGTGCAAGCCTTGGAATCGCATTGAATTGCGGGAAATGAAGTTCTTTTGCGCATGTGTCGTCAGGAGCGGCGTTACGAGTTAGGAGGTGATTAATATGAGTAGTGTAAAGAAATGTAAGTGAAACTGAATGGGACTCGGGTGGAGCAATTATATTATTTATAAACATGGTGCGAGTTTTACTGTGTTATTTTTAAAAACTGCATGGCAACATTGTTTAAATCTGATTGTGGAGGGGAACAATAATGTAGCGGAAATTGTTTTTAACTATCGTTTTACTGATGCCCTTTCCTTCAGGTAGAAGGTTTTTTTTCATCTTTGTGGATTTGACTCAAATCCTCCCCGTATTACATTTGACTGTTTGCAGCAACCTGGTTCAGATCAGCACAGCTCAGCCGGTAGCACTCTCTCCCTGTGGGTCAGAAGGTTGGGGTTCAACACCCACGTGGGGGGGATTTAAACTTATAGTCCAGGCTGACACTCCATTACAGTGCTAGGGGTCTGTTCTTTGGATGAGATGTTAAACTGAGGTTCCGTCTGCCTGTTCAGGTGGATGTTAAATACGAAAAGAGAAGGGAGTTTTTCTCTCTCTCTCTCTTTCCCCCCCAGTGTCCTGGCCAGCATCTCAGGGTGGGGCAGTTGCCGGTTCAAAGGCCACATCATGACTTGAACCATGCTTTCAGCCTATCTGCCCCCTCGCTCATCCCTCCTTCAAGGCCCATCTCAAGACCCACCTCTTTGACCGCGCCTTTGGTCCCCCTTCCCTCCTGCCCTTCACCCCTCCTGATCCCAACTCCCAGCTCAGGTGCACATCCTTGACTGTCCACAACCTTGGAACGTCCTCCCGATGTGAAAGGCGCTATATAAATGTAAATTGAGCTAAGCTCCATCCTGGAGTTCTTCTGATACTCTTCCTCCCTCACCTCATTCAAGGTCTGCCATTAAATATACCTCTCTGACCATGCTTTCGGTCACCTTTCGCCCATTCTTTACCCCCCCTGCTCAGGTATCCATCGAGCACTGTTGGATGTCCTCCAGATGTGAAAGACTCTGTACGAACGTGAATTCTATTACATTTAAACTTGTTTTCGTTCATTCTCATTCTCTTCAGAATGTGTTCAACATGGTGGTGGAGGTTCCTCGCTGGACCAACGGGAAGATGGAGGTAATTTGTTTTCTTTCCACTCAACTTTCTAGCCTCAAAACTGGAGGCGCATTGAAGTGCATGGACAGTGTAGATTCTGTGTCACAGGTAAAGATTATTTTATAATCCAGCGAGTTTCTTAGGGAAAACAGGTGCTTTCCTCTCTGGTGAGGGATGGTATTAGAGATGGGGGTGTTAGGGGCGCGGGTAGAGAGGCTGAACTGTGGTGTTAGAGATGGGGTCTGGTATTATGAGAGTCTTCTCACTGGGAAGCTGTCACTTAACTCTTGGGCAGCTGGTTTGATAGTGGCAGCATTGGAGGCTTGGGGGAGGATGCTAAGTCTTCTACTCAGTTGATGCACATCCCAAAGCAGTGTTAGGCAGGAACATTCAACTCCACTTACCCACCCGGCTTTTGTTCCATATCCCTTGATATCCTGACCTAACAAATGTCTGTCTGGGATCTTTTGGGCAGGGAGTGAGTGGAGGAGGACTTGTTGGATGCTCCTCAATAGGAAGGCTTTCACAGGAATAATCCTGTGTCGTTTTCTGTATTTACAGATTGCAACCAAGGAGCCGCTGAACCCTATCAAACAAGATGTGAAGAAAGGAAACTTGCGTTTCGTGGCGAATATTTTTCCTCACAAGGGATACATTTGGAACTACGGGGCTCTTCCACAGGTAGGAATGGAAACAGGGCTTATCGTGAAGCTAAGTGAACTTAGACTGGGAACATAGGAACAGGAGGAGGCCATTCAGCCCCTTGAGTCTGTTCCGCCATTGGCTGATCTGTACCTCAACTCCATTTATCCACCTTTGTTCCATATTCCTTCCATACGCTTACCTAACAAAAATCTATCGACTGAAACCATTAATTTATTCTGGCTGGTTAGTCAGCAATCAGAATCCATCAACAAATCACATTTATTCCAGCAACAACAACAAATTACATTTGTATTTGTATAACTTTCACATTGGGAGGATATCTCAGAGTACTTCACACAACTGACCAGGGAGGTGGATGAAAGGAGCTGAGGAGTGTGTGTGTATGTTGTGGGGGTGGGATGTTGGTAATCGCCGAGGGGGCAGGGAGGAATTAAAGCTTAGTTGAAAAGATGTATCTTAAGGCAGGCTTTAAAAGTGGGCATTGAGAGAGCAACCAGGTGGAGTGAGTGGGTGGGAACAGGCTAAAAACTTAACCACGCATAGTAGGGCGAATTGTGTGGGAAGTGAACTGAGCCACTGTTAACTGTGAAGGGTTGTAGGAGAATTAAGGTGGTGGTAAGTTATTGTTAAGGCGGTGACTCTGACAACAGCCCTAGCACAGTGGAGTCCTGTAGCTCAGTGGTTAGAGCACTCGCTTTGCAAGCGAGAGACCTGAGTTCGATTCCCGGCAGGGTGAAACCTTGGGCAAGTTTCCTTACTCCAGACGCCTGATAATAATCCCTCAAGAAAGAAAAACAATAATAAATTGGTCATTTCAATCCACTACTGTTTGTGGGACACTGCTGTGCGCAATTGGCTGCCGGGTTTCGCCCACAAATATACAGTTAATTCATTTTACGTCTATTCTGTGAAGCGCTTTGAGACGCCTAGAAGAGGTGAAAAGCTCTGTATCAAATGCAAGGATTATTATTATTACATTGTATTAAGTGATAGTGTGAAGGCCTGGATTGTGGGGAGCGACTGATGGGTTTGCAAGAATTAAATGGAAGTTTTGTGTGAATGGATGCGAAGGCATTGCAGTGGGTCCCAGTCAAAGAGAAGCATTAATGGCCCAAAGTAGAATTCTAGGGAATTCCAGTGTCTGAAGATAATTCCTGATGTTTTATTTCCAACAGACTTGGGAAGACCCAAAACACAAAGACGAATCCACCAACTGCAATGGAGACGATGATCCCATTGACGTCTGTGAAATTGGAACCAAGGTGCAGTGGAAATGATGTACTCCCACTCAACTCGCTTTCTCTTCAATATTCGCTTCTTTCCAACAGCTCTCTGGAGTTGTATATCCTTGTTATAGTTTAATCAGTCCTCGATTGTTGGATCAGGGGCAGCGGACATGAAACGGACACTGTTCATATCAGTGTTCCATGCCAATCCAGTAGTCGAGGATAGATGGTCCCCATTTCCCATACAACCTTCTGACGCAGTCGTTCCGTTCACTCAGCTAACAGCTCTTTCGTGTGCCCTGCTCGGTCCACCCCACTGTCTGGGGGCAAGCTTTCAGCCATCCTTTTCCCACTCCCGCCCCTTTGCCCCCCACCCCCCCCACTTGTTGGGCCACTGGTGATGTTGGGGATTGTTCCTAGACAACTCTTTGCTGGCCAATATATCTTTCCTGAGATGCATTGCCCAAACCTGAACGCATTATTCCAGATGGGCATGAACAGAAAATCCCCTGCTAGTTACCTGCCTACATCACACGCCTAAGATCGAGAACTTAGCCCCAATGAGATGGTTCTCTCCTGCCTTGGTGTCATGTTGAATCCACAGGGGGAGGAGAAGAGAGAGCACAGTAAATCCCAAATTTAAACCGAGCCCAGTTTAAGGGAAATCAAAGTGAATTTACAAGAAAGAGTTGTCATTTTGTTTCTGTTCTGTGTCTGTGTGCGGAAGAGAAACTTGTATTTATGCAAATCGGTTTTGGGGAAGAGCATCGTCATAGGGAATTATGCCAACTGCTGAGCTAGATAATAATCCTTGAATTTTGATACAGCATTGTATCACGTTGTGGCGACTTCTGAAAACACTTCACAGGATTTTACTGTGAAATGCGGTGACTGTATTTGTGGGCGAAACACGGCAGCCAATTTGCACACAGCAACGTTCCTACAAACGCCCATTGTGCTATTCTCGTGTGGTCCCTATTTGCTCGAACCTGAATCTCTTCCGAACCTGAATCTCTCCCAAGTGAGGGGGTTTGGGTTGTATCGCCCAGCTTGATGTCTCTCAATTTAATTAGTTGTTGAGTGGGCTGCTGTCTCTGTCACTTTCACATCCAGAAACCTGCAGGGACTTGGCAAGAGATTGTGAAAGGATTTTTTTTGAAAAAAAGTAAGTTTAGAATTATCAAGCAAATAGTTTTATTCACGTTTTAGTATTATTTCTAGTATTCAACTCTGAATTCTGTTGGCGGACGGGTGGGTGAAATAATAGGAAAAATCTACATTTTTAAATGCTGGTTTAGTTGGTAGCACTCTTGCCTCCGAGTTAGTAGGTTGTGGATTCAAGTCCCACATCGGGATTGGGACCCACATAATTTCTTTTCACACCAATGCATAATAGGTTAAACCAAGGTGGACGATGGTACTACATTGAAACAGAAAAGGGGGTTTCTCTCATCTGGTGTCCTGGCCAACAATCCTCCAGATAAATTGGTCACTCTGGTGTTCAAATCCATTCACTCCCTGGCACCTCCCTACCTCTCCGACCTCCTCACTCCCCAATCCACCACCCGGCGCCTCCACTCAACTGGCACTGGCCTCCTACTCATCCCTCCGCTCCACCATTGGTGGCCGTGCTTTCAGCCACTACGCCCCAAAACTGGAACACTCTCCCTCAATCCCACCGCCTTGCTCCCTCTCTCCCCTCTTTCAAGTCCTGCCTGAAAGCTTTCCTGTTCGACTGCTCATGGCCACCTCCCCCCCCCCCCGGCTCAGAGTCAGGCTCCCTACTGTTAAGCGCTCTGAGACGCCACCCTGCGTGGAGGGCACTATATAAGTGCAAGTTGTTGTTGTCATTCATTTCATGGCTGTTTGTGGGACATTGCTGTGTGCAAATTAGCTGCCATGTTTCGCCGACAAAATACACAGTCACTGCACTTTACAGTATATCTTGTAAAGGACTTTGAAATGTCCTCTTGACGTGAAAGGCGCTGTATCAAATTATAAGGATTTTTCTTAGTTTTCCTGTCTCATTCCCAGACCAGACCTGAATGCATTGGAAGTAAGTTTGGTTTGAAAGCTGAAGCTCTATTTCTTTGTCTCCATATAGGTTTGTTCAACAGGAGAAGTGATCCGGGTAAAAATTCTGGGCACTTTAGCTTTGATTGACGAAGGTGAAACTGACTGGAAACTTATTGCGATCAATGTTGAGGATCCTGAAGCAAACTGTTTCAATGGTACATATTTACAGTGCACAGCACCTGAGACTTCACTGTGATAATGTTCCAGAGTATTATTATTAATAAGAAGAATCCTTGCATTTGATATAGCATATGTCTTGTCATGTATAATATATCATGTTTTGTGGGTGAATATCATTTTGTGGGCAAAACGCAGTAGCCAATTACGCACAGCAGCCATGGATTGAGTGACCACTTTTGTTTTTACTGGCGACCCACGGTATTTTGATGAAGGATCACACTTTTGTTGTCATGTGTTGAATGACCGGCTGTGAATTTCCAGCATTCTGTGATTTATCCTTTATAAATCTCTACACATATGGGAATATTTATCCTCTGATGCTTGGAATATTGTAAACTCTCAGTGATCAAGCATTCAGCGAGCACAGCCCTACTTCTGCACTCTTGAATTGTCTTTCAACTCCTCTTTGCCTTGTTCACTTTCTCCGTTCTTCAAAATAGGTATCTTTTCAACAGTGCTTTTGGTCGATATGTTTGATTTATTCCTGCCTTCTCCCTTATTTCTGCTCATTCTTCCTTTCCTGTTATATTTGTTAGGTGCTTTCTGATGAAACGTTCGATCTACTAGAAGTGTGTTGTGTAAGTTATTGATGTGGTAACAGCTTAAAGCAGTCTCCATTTTGTTGGAATAAAGGAATGGCCAGAATGGAATTAAACAAGTCTGCTTAGCCAAAGTGGAGAGTGTTGCTTTGTCAGAAGTGCCATCCTTCAGATAAGACATTAAACTGAGATCCTGTCTGCCTGTTCAGGTGGATAATAAAGATCCCATTCGAAAAGAGAAGGGAATTTCTCTCTCCCAGTGTTCTAGCCAACAATCCCCAAATAAAATCAGTCACTCAATCCACGAATGTTTGTGGACACTGCTGTGCGCAATTGGCTGACGTGTTTTGCCCACAAAATATAGTCACAATACAGTATATTCTGGGTTCCTACTCGCTAAAGTTTTTATGCTGGAGTATATTTGAATGTGAAGCACTTAGTCTTAAGTCATTTAGGTTAGTTTTAATATCAACCGTTTTTGTTTGTTTAATCAGATATTTGTGATGTAAAGAGACTAAAGCCAGGATACATGGAAGCCACAGTTGACTGGTTCAAAAGGTACAAGGTGCCTGATGGGAAACCGGAAAACCAGTTTGCATTTGACGCCAATTACAAGGATAAGGTGAGTATTTGAAACATAGACATTTACAGCACAGGAGGATGCCATTCGGCTCATTGAGTCTGCATCATTTTAAAGCGAGCTGTTCATTCAATCCCACTCCATGTACCCCTTCAGGCCTTTACCTTTAATGTACCTGTCTACTTCTTGCTTATATCCTTGCATTTTTATGGCGTCTTAAATGTCTCAAATTGCTTCATAGGATTTACTGTAAAGTACAGTAACTATTTTGTAGGTGAACACAAAATATACAGTCAAAATGCTTTAAGACGTCTCAACGACATGATAAGGCACCATATCAAATGCAAGTATTATTAGTAATACAAATTTACATTTATACAGTAACGCCTTTCGCTTCAGGAGAATGTACTGGCTTGGCATCCGAGCTGGAGGGGCAGCACAAAATAATGTCCTATAAACAGCCTCAGTGATGAGTTATCAGGAGCGTTGAGTTCGGCATATGTATTAAATAAATAAATAAATGCGGTCGGGATATTGACAGCCTGATGACTTAAGTTAAGCCACGGTCTATTTATTGTACATGACAAGTTTGATCTGTGTTCAGGAATTTGCCCATGCTGTAATCAAGAGTACTCATGAGTTCTGGAAAAAGCTTATTATGAACAAATCCAAGGAGAGAGACATTGACTGGTAAGTGTGGAAACGATCAGTGGACGGTCATATTCTAACTTGTGCATGTGAGTAGAAAATGCGAGGTATTGACAAAGGCCAGCATGTTACAGAACAGCGTTGACGGAGGGTGAAACAAGGCCATTTCTCCCCCACCCCGCTCCTGAATGTGGTGAGTGCTGCTGAGCGCAAAAGGAGATACAGGTCTTGTTTTCAACAAAGCAAATTGAGAATCTTTAAATGCTAATCTTGAAATGAGAATAGCTGTCTCCCATTCCAACTGAAGCACATTGAATGCACCAGATAACTTTACCACCAACAACAAATTACATTTGCATAGCGCTTTTCATGTTGGGAGGATGTCCCAAGGCATCAGATAGTCAAGGAATTGGACCTGAGCTGGGGGTTAGGATTATGAGGGGTGGAGGACAGGGAGGGTAGGGGTAGGAGGATGAGCGAAGGCAAAGTTTAAGAGGAAGGTCATGAGATGGGCCTTGAAGGAGGCGGAGGGACTGTGGGGTGACGTTCCAAAGAGTAGGGGCAGAAAGGCTGAAGGTCTGACAGCCAACGGCGGGGTGGACAGGTTCGGGGATGTGGAGCAGACTGGAGTCTGCTGAACAGATGGAGAAGACAGGTCTGTATGGAGTTAACAGGTCACAGATGTCAACACCTTGGTTCTGTAATTTGCTGGGGGGCACATGGAGGAGGAATATTTTGTCCTTTAATTGGTGTTTGTTTTGGGAGTAATAACTAACTTTATTTACAAAGACTGGCAAAGTCAACGATCAGCATGATAAGGCAAGTTAAACTGGACAGCAACTTTCAGTTTCAGGCTTGGTCTTTTTAGAGGAACACTTTTTGTGTGGAAAACATTCAATGTTTTTCACTTTTGAGATAAGATGGGATCTGCAGTTTTCATGTGTGTAATGTGTTCCTCATTTCTGGTGCTGTGAATGTTTCATTTTGTACAGGGTGTCCACAAAGTCCTGTTACCCCTGTTACAAAACAGGAGCTGAAACAAGCTTTCAGGGATGCATTTCGCCTCATCACTCCATCTATGTTTAGAAGATGTGGCACAGAACATGGTGACGGATCATTATCTGTCATGAAAATGTTGGCGCTCACTCACACCCATCCTTTGGACGTCTAAATACAATTAAACACTTGTACTGAATACAATTAAGTACTTCTAAATACAATTATCACTTTTTCACGTTTCAGTTGTTGGTCAATGCACTGTAGAAAAAAAATGGGGTAACAGGACTTTGTGGACACCCTGTATGTTAAAAAAAATTATCTCCAGTTTTTTTACTGTGATCCGAAGGCAAGCCCGAGCCAAGTTAACTGATCAACTGATCAATTTAAAGTCTGCTTCAATTTTGTTCTCTCCTCAGTACAAATACTACTGCGACCAAAAGTCCTTTCTACAGCTCTGCAGAAGCTGCAGAAGAAATCGTGAAGAAGGTAAGTGTTCTCTTCACTCTTCTGAACAGTGTAACTAAAGTGTAGCGCCTCCGTGTTTGTGTGCGAATACGGCAGCCAATTTGTGCACCCAGTGTCCCACAAACACCCATGAAGTGAATGACCACTTGTAGCTTGTGTGGATGTGTACCATTTCTGCCAATAGTTAATGATATGTAATAAGATGAAATTGAACGAGCAGGTTGGTATATATGTGCGATATGGTATGATACTGAGTCCTACATATGATCCCTGGTTGCCGCTGAGTTTGCTGATCTCAGTCAGTATGGAGCAGGCTTGCTATGATTTGGCTTCCTGATCTCTATCTCTTGGTAGCAAATGTGTGTGAATAGGGTCACACCCCACCACAATTCGATAGAAAAGACAACAGTCGCTGACATGCGAGTGATTTGGCACTTTGGCAAAGTAGTGGAGAGCTGTGGGTGTCTGAAATCACCGCCTTCGGGAGAGGTAGGTTTAGAAGTGTTGGCATCAGCAGTATTAATTTTCCTGACATTAAAATCCTTGGCAGGTAATAGTTATTCTATCTGTTTAAAGGGTCAACTATGTATGCAGTGCTCAGCACCAAACCATGTAAACATGAGGGACGTTGATATAAAATGTTTTTGTTTTACAGGTGCCGCCGTGCGGAGTGGCTCAATCAATTTCAGCAGATGGTATGTGCTTCCTTTACATTTTATGACTACAGGACAGGTATTCGAGTTGCATGAAATGTTCAGTGAGGTTCAACTTCTGAATTTTCTTGCTAAGTTTAGCTTGGTGGATTTGTAGGTCCTGCCAATGTAGCTAAACAGATTTACGGAGGGAGATGAAAAAAACATCTACACTTAAATCTCATACTGCCAGCTGAGCTGCTCTGTTACTGAACCCTGCATTACTGCTGTGTGACTTATCATGTGCTATGTTCTGTTCATAAAGTGTCAGCCACTGTTCACTGATTGGGAATAAACAGTTTCGGGCGCTCCCATCAGTTAAACCTTAAGTGATTTGAGATTCAAAGCGTTTGCCTCTTCAATGAGATTTTTGTATTGCAATCAAAGGTGATTATAAGTTCCTCTGTAAATAATTATCCTATTACATAGCTCAGAGAGCAACTTCAATTCACCTTTCAAGAAACTGTTTGCAGTCTGTAAAAGTGATAATACAGTTGATTGGAAGGTTTTAAGACTCATCTGTTTTCCTTTTGTGATTGCAATCATATTGAGCTTTCACATTGGGAGGATAACTCAAGGCGCTTAGCATTGCAAAGACTGATTAATTGGGTATTAATGTTTGTTAAACACGGATTGGAGCCTTGACATTTGAAGTCCAACAACATCAGGAAGTTTGACAGGATACAGGATATAAACCTTTACATATGAAATATTAGCATGCCAGTGGTGTCTGCTGTCTTGTTAAGAGTGTCACAAAGCAGACCTTGAGTTAACTCTTGTTTGAAGTACATTTTTTGACTGATGTTGAAAATGTTGTAGCTTCAGTAAAAATAAATCAGTTAATAAAAAAATCAACTAACCCCTGTAAACTAACTGGTCTGTGGTACTTGACATATAAATGCTTTCATAGATATTCTGGATTAAAATAAAACATGACCATTTTAGTTTAGGGAGATTGAAGTCAGCAAAACATTTTCTTCTGTGAATCTTATTTTGTAAAATAGTGAAGTATTTTAGTAAATCTTTGTTGAAGCTAATGATCTGTTAACACAATTTTTTTTGTATTGTAGTGGACAAGTGGTGGTATGACGAAAAGAATTAACCAGCAAGACAGACATCACTGTGCTATCATGTTTTATTCTAAATGATAGTATTTAATTACCAAGCTGAACTGCGTTATAACCTGTAGTAGCTATGAATAGAATAACTCAGGAACTGAAGGAATAACAAGAAGGTACTCCAAAGGGGTGTAGAGTATTGGTCCGCTTTTGAAATTTGTATAGGAGTACAGAAGTGTAATTAGAATAAAATCATCAGTGATCTGTTTGTGTTATGAACATGAAACCCTGCTAAACCTAATAAAAATTGGATGTCACAAAGCATGACTTTTTTCTGTTCTGGGGTATATTTATTGGCAGGGGGAAATAAAAAGCATTTCTGTAAAGTTTAGTAAGTTTGAAGGAGAAAACACATTGGGCTCACTTTTCTCTAAACCTTGGCAAAAATCCTGCACTATGAACTAAGTTTAGCTCTGTTCTCTCCCTTTCTGTTCCTTTCTCAAGACCCACTGGTCTAAAGTAGTGTTACTATTAATTTTGAGGTACACCTCAAACATAACCCTGTTGTAGCTATTGCCCCGTCGTGTCTTCCCTTATTCAGAAAATTGGGCTCTTTTCAAATTCTTGCTATACTTTGTTTCAAGAAGTTGAAGATTGTGTCAATACATTTCAAATTATCCTGAAGATTGTGACCTGATCATTTCAGTAGAATGTTTGACTGGTGATCTTACAATAATCCTTGCCATTGATATCGTGCTTTATCACATTGTTAAACCATGTCAAAGCACTTAGCAGGATTTACTGTAAAGTGACTATTTATAGGCGAACACTGCAGCCTATTCGCACAAAATGTCTGAAACAGCCATTAAATGAATGACCAGTTTTGTGGAGTTATCTCTGTTCTGCAATGGTGCTACTCTACGTTATTCCTTGTTTTAAATTAAATCACATTTCTATTGCCAAAAGTACCTCTGAACCCTAATCTCCTACAATTTCCTGATGAACTGGGGTAATGTGGTTTATACAGGCCCTCGTGTTTCCTGCTATGTTGAGTTTGGGGGTGGGAGGAAGAGGTGAAAGCCAGGCAGTGTCCTTACCTTTTTAAGCCAAAGGCATGGATTCAGATAAATTCAATAAGTATGGAAAATGAACCTTAAAAATTATATTTAGAAGGAAAAGCAAAAACCTAAGTTTACAATGTTGTCTCAGAACTGTAACAGCAGAGAAAGGTCCAATGAAGATTATTGAAAGCTGTCCAACATAATCAGTTAAACATAACTGACCTGTTATTAAACAATTTTAGATATTAGAGACTTTTCCAATTGGTGTTTATTTTGGAAACCATTTCTAGCACATTACAAATTGTAGACAGGCTTGAACAGGATCTGTCTGAATTCAAATTCATCCCAAAACTAAACATTTGGAGAAGGAAATGTCAAACTCTGGTTCAGAGGGTTTGAATAACAAGTCAACATTAAACAGCCAGTTTGACATTATTATTTCATGTTTGTTACAATAAATACCAGTTAGGTTTGTTACGTTTTTAAATCTTATCAGTCATGATTTATTTGCAATTTGCCAGCTAATACTCAAAAGGATCTATTGTACATCAAAGTACAAATGCTGACAGTTTACAGATGTATATTGAAACAGTTACCATAAAGAGCCAAGTTTCAAAAATCCTTAAGTGCAACTCTCACCACAAAATGAGTTTGAAAGTGACCTACCTTGTAGTCAATTCAATGTATGCATCTGCTACACTGCTGGATTTTGATTAACAGTGATGAAGGTTGACTTTGAAGGCTACATTTTAGAGATGTTATTTAAGAACAGGACTGAGATCTGATTGATCTTTATGGAAATGCTAAAAAAGACCTTTATGGAATAAAACAGACATCAGAATACTGCATAAAACAAAAGGCAAAATATTGTAGATGCTGGAAATCTGAAATAAAAACACAAGTCGCTGGAAACACTAAGTGGATCAGGCAGCATCTATGGAGAGAGGAAAGTGCGTTAATGTTTCAGGGCAACGACCTTTCGTGAGAATTCGGGTGTCTGACCTGCTAAGTGTTCCCAGCCGCTTCTGCTTTTGTTTCAGAATAGAGCGTGTCTCACAGGAAAAAACATACCACTTGTACTCCACACTAAAATAAACAATCTATTGTGGGGATTACCAGAAATACAAATTGTCACCTTGAGTTATTTCTAGTTTCACAATGTCTGGCTGTTAACTAGGTTGTCAAATACAAACTGTACAGGTCTGGGTGAAGTTATAGAATCTTCCAGCATCGAAGGCCATTCAGAGCATCATGCCTGTCCCAGTCCTTTAAAAGATTTTGTGGGCGAAATAGAGGATTGGGGAGGAACTAAACTTCAGAGCTCAAGATTTCTCATCAGATTACTTTAGTGCTCACATAAAATTGGTTTACCTCATCCAAGCCACGTGGCCTTAGAAAATCTGTTCAATCCATCTTAGTTACTTAAATAGTGAGCCACAGCCAAATGGGACCATTAAATGGTGGAACTGGGTTCAGGCCAATCATTCACCATTATGGGTAAAAAAAAATTGCATTTTCATAGTGCAGCATGACAGCATCTTAAAAGATCTTCACAGATAATAAGGTCAATTGTAGAAATTTTTTGTCAGCAAACAGCCATTTGTACCAGTATGGTTTCACAGACAGATAGGTGAATTAATCTGGAGGACTGTTAAGACAGGCACCGCAATAAGCTGTTCTATATTTTGAAAATATTGTAGATGTAGTAGTTTTACTGTCCAGCTGAATAGGCAAAGGACCTTAATGTCTCTTTCAAAACATGCATCTCCATTGCTGCAGCGTCCCCAAGCTCAAGCTTCCATCCAAGAACTGGTATGAGGAGAGTCACTGGGAGGTCTGCAAACAGTTCACCATCTTGCATTAGACACTTAGGTAGCTGAGACTGGGCAAGAAAGAGTTTGTGCTTCACACAAATATTGCAGCAACGGCTTCTAAGGAATTTAAAAAGCACACAAATGCCCATTTTCCAACACTGTCTGGATCAAAAGTTTAATAAAATAAATGAAAAAGTCTGGTCTTCACACATGATCATGGCAAACATTCATCATCACGGTATTCACAGTGAAAATTTCCACAGGGTAAAAATAAGTAACACCTGGTTTGGAAATTCAACAGTCCAGTACAAGCAATCTGGTGGTATTTTTCAATACACAGACTCCCTCCATAGACCAGGTATGAAAATGTTCTTAGTTGAGATGAAGTAATTGTTTCATGAATTCATATGTAGTGAATGCCACTGCTTGTGAGGGAATGCAACGGATGTAATTGAGCGACAGTCCACGATAAAGGCCATTTCGGATTCCATGTGTATGGTAGACATGCCTCAGGGTCTTGGTCATTGTGCTAACAGAAAACAACGTTCAGTTAAATAAGATATTAAACTTTCATAATTCTCCATTGTAAAGACTACAAATCTTGATTTAAGAAAACAACAACCCATTTTGTGGGTTATTGTATACTTTGAGTCCCGGAGCGTAGTGGTTAATGCACTCGCCTCGTAGGCAAGAGGCCCTTGGTGAAACCTTAGGCAAGTTTCCTGTTTACCTAACAGTAACTAGGAACCCGGTTGTTAGTCGATTGATGAATCACTTTCCTGGAGTAATATTCCCTCAAAAAAAAATTTGGTCACTCAGTCCACGACTGTTTGTGAGACACTGCAATTGGCTGCCACATTTCACCCACAAAATACAGTCAATCCACTTTACAATATATTCTGTGACATTTGAGACATCTCAATGATGTGACAAGGCAATATATCAAATGCAAGGATTATTATTAATTATTATATTGAGTTGAAGCATCCTCACACACTTTTGGAAGCTTGGCAACAATTTGATGGGACAATCACAGAAGTAATGTGCATTTGGCCTGGTGTTGACCAGGTTTACCTCATGTGCTCTCTCCTGCATGTAAAGTGGAGGATTCCTCACCAGGGAACAGTAGGTTGGGAGTAGGTAGGGTGGAACACACTTCTAAATTAAAGATAGACTCTACAAGTTAGGCTTTTTTTTCCTGTTGCATGATCCATAAACAGTCATAAAAGTCATAAAAATATTCCTTGGTTTTGATATAGTGCCTTTCACATCAGGAGAATGTCTTAAAGCACATCGCAAAATTTACTGCAATTCTTTTCTCACGCACAACTTTAATTCTTCTCTTCAACCGTGCCTTCAGCTCCCCTCTCAACTCTCTACCCCCTCCTCGCTCCCTCCCTTCCCTCACCCTGACCATTTCCCCCCTGCTCGGGTCCCGACCCAACTGTCCAGCGCCTTAGGACGTCCTCCCGACGTGAAAGGCGCTCTATAAATGCATCTTGTTGTTGTTGTAATTACCAATGTTTGTCGTAATCTGCCATCACAGCTCCTAACTGCATCCGTCTGCGAGCTACATCCAAAGGATAGCTATAAAGAAAAGGAAAAGGATTCAACACTATGTTCAAATAGGTTATAAATAACCATTTATTTAGCGGAAGAATATTGTGGGTGGAGATGGAATTAGATACTTTTCCAAAAAATCTTTACTCTGTCAGGGCACTTATTTCAAACCCACTGAGTAGGCAGGACTTGGAAGGGGAGGCCAGTCACTGAATCCTCCCACTCAGCTCCTTTTAACCCTGCAAGCCAAAGCCCTGACGTGTAGGATGGTCCTAGCTGAAGAAGCAGCAGGAAAGCGTACCAAACAGCGATATCAATGGCAAGCTGTGCGGTTTTAGCTGGTGAGGTTTCAGCGTTACTCCAATGCACTCTGGGGGCCCTCAAGCCTTGGCTCTTGCCAACCTGTGCCTAATACATCCCAGATTTAGGAAAGAAGGACGTGTGCCATCAGAGGGACAGTGCGCATTCCATTCCAACAATCTAGCACTGGAGTTTCCATGTGTAGGTGGGATACATAGAATTCTCAGTTTGGTTTGGATACGTTTAATGGGTGATGGGTTTCCGCATGTGTTCAGCTCACTGAAAAAAAATCAAAACTCACGATACTGTTTGGGCAAAGGCTCCTGCTATTCCACCACAGAGCAAGTTCACATGAGTTTTCAATACTAAAACATTGGGATTATCAGATGAAGGTTTTCCAAGGTGGGCAGGAGCATAAGTAAGACCAACACTCTTCAAGGTGCCAAAAGTGAAGAATGAAACACCTGAAATTAAAGCAGATTGAATGCCTCATGTTTAAGTTCTCAGTTTTTTCAAACAGCATTACCCCCAACAATGAACAAGCGAATAAAGAAGCTGGTAACTGGTGAATTGCAATAAACAATTACCATGAAGCAATTCAGTTAAAGACCATGAACACTTAATCGAAGGAATTAAAAGAATCAATTGGGACTAGTTAGCAATTTATAAAAAGCCACTGGGAATGGGTACATATTGTTATGAAGTTGTATTTATTTTGTCAAGACTCAAACTCAACAACACACCTTTACTGAATGAGTATGCATTACAATTAGAACAGTAATCTTTCGGGGTTAATTTTGTACTTATCGAGGCAAAAAGAGCACAATTTTTACTGTTTGTATACAGCACCACTAATACAAAACAAATATAGAAAAAAGCTCCCTCTACAGGCAACTGACAATAGATCGTAAAACTCCTTAAGCAAAAAATAGGAATAATCACTCTAGTTTAGTTGCCACTTAGTTTAGTTATAAATAACTAGGTTGAAACTGTCTAAACCACATTCAATTAAAACACTGGACAGCTGTGCAAGACAGGAGATTTATATCACCAGCTGAGCTTGGATTCACCTCTAGTTCATGGAACACTGCTCTGATCCCAAACCCAGGAATTACATAAGTACACAATCGTCTACAAAATATACAGCTACTTGTGAAGCACTTTGTTAAAATAAAAACAGTTAAGATTTAGATATTCCTATTTAGATTGGCCAAAATACCTGCATAAGGAGCCATTCCAATAATTGTAGGGATCAGGCCTCTGTAAAATCCACTGTAACCTCCTTCCTGATAAACAAAAGAAAAAATGCTTGTACTCCAAGACTCTCAACATCATTTAATCCACAATTTACCAGTTTAATGGAAAAAGTAAACATGTGGTTCACTAATTGCACCTCAGTTTCCTAGTGAGATGATAAACATTAGAATGATAGGGGTTCTAAATAAGATAAACTGGGTGGCAAAAACAGGTTCCTTTCAGGCCAGCAGTGCCTATTTATTTTGTCAAGACTCAAACTCGACAACACACCTTTACTGAGTGAGTATGCATTACATTCAGAACAATAATCTTTCATAATCAAAAATGACTAAAGGCAAGATAACAGAAATAAAGAAAAACAAGAGTTAGGCATCATTCAAAAGCTAGATTTATTTTGTAAATTCACTATGTAAGTATTTTGTAAGTACTATATTGCACAGTAGTTGTGTGGCACCTAGTGGATGAACTGAGCACTGTAGAAAGATAGAGAGCCAGTATTCCTGTTTTAATAATTTCATGTCATCCAGATACTGTGAGCAATTAACAGGTTGTTCATCCATCAATCCTAAGATCTTGCTCACCCTCTGGAAAGAAACGAATGCGAGCTGCAATTCACATGCAAGCAGCATTCCGCATCCGGAATTTCAGGAAACGTAGAAAGAGCCAGACATGAAGAAACGCTGATAATAATAATAATAATAATAATAATAATCCTTGCATTTGATATAGCGCTTTTCACGTCGGGAGGACGTCCCAAAGCGCTTCACAGAACACACTGTAAAGTGAATTGACTGTATATTTGTGGGCGAACGCGGCAGCCAATTGCGCACAGCAATGTCCCACAGTCGTAGATTGAAAATGACCAATTTTATTATTGTTTTTGGTTTTGGAGGGATTATTATTAGGCGTGTGGAGTAAGGAAACTTGCCCAAGGTTTCGCCCTGCCTGGAATTGAACTCAGGTCTCTCACTTGCAAAGCGAGTGCTCTAACCACTGAGCTACAGGACTCCACAAATAATAATGATAAATAAGCAGTTGAGACTCTTTGATACGAAAAATGTACTACTTTAAGCGTGCAATAAACAGCGGAGATGGAAAAATAAAAATAAAAAAGAGAAAAAAAGAAAAACAATAAATATAAGGTAAAAGAATAAACACTCCCACATTTATGACACAAATTTGATTAAATGAGAGGAAAATGCTTCTCTCCCTGCCATCGCCCACCCCTAAAAGTTGTTTTGAAAAAGAGCTAAAAAATAATAGCATGAACACATCACAGATTTGGGGATTGCACTCCTGCACGTAAGGTATTTAAGCACTCTGGGATGCTATCCTGTGTGAAGGGTGCTATATAAATACAAGTTGTTGTTATATGCTTATCTTAGGGATGGGATGTGAAGGATCATGTAGCTGACACCATAATATTTTAAAGGAACATCTCACCGCCATGATCTTTCCCTGGCAAAACATTTAAACTAGTGCTAAAGCCTAGAAGATCTGAAAAGGAAGAATTCTGTTTTTAAACTTTACAGCAGAATAATGAACCTTGGACATTTCAAAATATTCTAAATACCTAAAGTTTTCCACATTTTTTGAAATCTTGAAATTCTGTACTTCAGTCAAAGTGACAGTGAACCACTAGCATCTCAATGTTAGACATTCAGCCCTTTTATATCACCATTCCTCAAAATCATATCATTTGATTATTTCTTGTGAGTTTCAGCAAAATACGCACCAGAGTATAAATGACCTTGAAAGCATCGATAATTCCATTGTACCTTTGATCACCCTTCACTTGAAATGCCAATCTTACTCGAATTACATCAAGCGGATAGGTACACAAGACTGCTGTTATCCCTGGAAAATAACATCAGTTACTTTAGTTTGCATTTCAAGCCCTTCCCTGAAAAGACAAAGGGAACATTAAAAACCTAAACTAACAGAGATTGTTCAAAATACTCACAACTTACATCAGACTATTTAATAAATAGGTGAATTATCATGTGTTCTACATTAAGCGCTCCGAAATGCTGCCCAGCTTGAATGCAAGTTGTTGTTTTAGTTAAGTAGTTGAAAAGCAACAATAAAAGGCTATGGGGTAGTGCAAGTTGGATTAGATTCTAACCATAACCCTAATGTAGTAAGCATTATTGCTGTACAATTTTCTAGCAAGATTTCTTTGGAAGAGGAAGCCAGGCTTTAGATTATATCTAGATATTATAAAAAAATTAAAATAATAATTTGGTCACTCAATCCACGACTCTTTGTAGGGCACTGCTGTGCGCAATTGTTTGCCGGGTTTCGTCCACAAAATATACAGTCAATTCACTTTAAAGTATATTCTCGAAGATGTGATGCGACACTATATTAAATGCAAGGATTATTATATTTTCGTTAAAATGCTTTATCTTACCCTTTTTCCAACGTTTCTAGATCATACAATTTCCTGAAGCTAATCCTTGTTTCAAAATATTATGACAACAACTTGTATTTGTATAGTGCCCTTCACATAAGGCAACGTCTTGGAGCGCATTACAAGGTTAGGGTTGGATGGAGATAGTCATAGATGCATTCAAAGAAATTTGAGGTGGGATTTAGAGAGAGTGAGGGAGCGAGACCGAGGATATTAATGGAATGCTATCTGTCCCTGTCTACTTCCAGACAAAATTCTACTTGCTGTAAAGAGGGGGCATGATCTGTATCACGAGACAACAAACTGTTGGTCAATGTGTAGGCATTGCACAATTGGTGTCATTAAACGTTCAGCTATGTCATTAGTTGACTGAAACCTTTCAGGCCTGCCTGCAATGCACAATACCTGAAATAAAACCTTCTGCACAATTTGCCATGCAGTTCAATGGCAGTTTGTTTTTCCTTCCAAATACTGTAAAAGCACAAATTGTTATGCAGAAACATTTAATATTGTATATTAATGATATCATTCTGCAACACCGATTTTCTAACAGATGCACAATGTTCCATAAAGAAGCATTCTTTTGCTCAGGAGAACAAGATGTAGTGCTATAAAACATTCCTTACAGTTGTAAGATTTTCAAAGGCAGATTTTAAGATATGTGGCCATTTATTATATAAAATATTAAAATATGCATGACAAAAAAGTGAGCTTGAAACTCAGTCTGACAAAAATTTAATAATAATTCAGCACTATCCTTCAATCTGGAACAGAAAGTACATAGAACCTGGAACCTCCATGATATCATTGAAATACAATACTAAATGTATCGCTGCCTAACAGTTTTTTAACATAGTGGCTGATGAGAAAGTGGAACACACTGCTAGAAGCTGTGCTTGAAGCATCAATGCTTTACAAGAAAACACAATGCACACGTGAAGAAGAGGGATATGGGAGCAGGCTAGGGTTGGGGATAGGTGGAGGATCATTTAGAATATAAACACATAGACTAATTGGGCTGAATAGCCAACTTTTTTGCTGTAGATTCTTTGTAATTATATGAAAGGGTCTGTGCACCATCTCCCACAAATGACAGATCCAAAATTGAAGACTTTCTGAAGGAAAATATTACTAACTCACTTTCATACAAGTTAACATAATTCAGACAATACAGTTCATTTCTTCCTCAACATTATCAATTACCAAGAAGCACAGTTGTTTTTCTTATGTTAAATCAACATTTTTTCAATAATCTATTGAGAAAGGTGTGCATTACATTATTACATTTTAACAAGAAACAATCACCTGCCATGGATCCTGCCATCAATCTGTGAATGTGCCCAGATATGCCAATTGTCTCATTGACAAACTGTAATACAATAATTGATTTTTTTATTCACAATTATACAACCATACATTCTCACCAAGGTTCCAAACATACTGTAAGACCAAGGGATATGTAAAATAATGTTTCAATTATTTTCACTTCAGCACACTCAGCATTTTTTTTTAAAAATTCATTCTTCCTCTTCTAGGTCAATTTTCTGATCGATAAACACCATTTTTTTATTAATGAGAATGAATCAGTTCAATATTCAAGATACTGATGTATTATGTGATATTTGTCAAACATTTAACTCATTGCTACAATGAAGATTATTATTTTTATTATTACTTTGTTAAACTAAACGATTTGAGATGGGGTATATATATTTATAATGGATTTTAAAATATTCTTAATTCATTGGTAGTCAAACTGTTGGTTGACCTTACCTTTCTGTAATGGTTAAATGACATGAACTGAATGGCACCATAAGGAAAGATTCTAATCATCATGGCCCCATTTCCTTTATATAATCCAAGGAAGCCTTCTTTCTTTGGGACAGCGCAAAGAGTAGCGAACACTCCTGTGATAAAAATGCCAGTCAAAATTTGTGCAAAAAAGCTTTTACCACAGGATCATTGCAGAAATGCACATCATTCAAAAAGTACCATTTATAGCAAATAAGAGTTTAAAAGGAAATCTCTGTGCAACTCCCAATTTAGAAAGTTTTGATAACTACCCCCTTCAAATTCCTTCTCTGCTCTCCTGACAGGAGTTATCCATGTTGGGTTACAGTTCCGTTAGCATGGCATTTCAACATTCTGCCTAGTATTATATTATCATATTACTGCTTTAAACTGCATCCTGGAAACCCTTCACCTTGCCCCTTTCCTCGCCTCCTTCAAGGTCTGTCTTAAGACCTTCCTCTTTGCCCACTCCTTCAGTCATCACCCCCCTCCAACCCTCCAAAATCCAACCCCCCAGCTCGGGTCTGTCCTGTGCCTCCTGACGTGAAAGGTGCTATATTAATTCAATTTGCTGTTATTGCCTTTGTATTCTAGCAAGTCATAATGCATGCGAGTGGAAAAAGCCCACCAAATAAAGAACATTTTGGGGATTGGTTACCGAGGTGTTTATAATGAGGACTATGAGCCTGTAGTAAAACCTTCACTCTGTCCAGCGGTGCAATTGTTGATTTGGCGCAACATCCTGCAATTCCTGCAAAAAGAAAATTCTATATGTGGTAATTCAAGAATAAAAGTTGCACCTGCACAAAACCAAGTATAGAATAGTTCTTCCAAAAACGTTTTTGGGCCTCGCACGCATAGAACACAAAGAAACCGTTGTAATTTATTGCTACTCCTCTTCTGAAGGCGTTGACTTACGAGAAGAATGGTTCCATGGTTGCCCTCCAATTCCTCACCCAACTGAACTTTGTTCATGTGCTCAACTTAGACAAGAGAGTGGGAAGCAGGGTTTGCCCATAGGTTGTTGTAATAACCAAGTCTAATCCTCTCCTCACTCTACATTCACACATGCAGAGGCGAGGGTACAACCTACTGAAACAAGTTGATCCTGAAAACATTGCAAGTGCTCTCACTTGGTTTTTGATGAAAAGCCCAGAGAACTAGCACAGGTATATATATCAGACAACTAGCAAGCAAAGGGTTCAACTTTTGCAAGACAAGCATTATTTACTAAAATCTGCTGAGCAACACAGTAAGAAACGTTTCATGAACTGTTTATTGCCATCATCTTCCAGACCACAAGACAGGGGCATGTCTTAGCTACCACTAAAAGCACAACTATGCTTAGGAAAATAAGTTATTGTCACGTATTGTTATTACAAGGGATATCAGCAGACACAAAGATAGAAAGAGGGAAAAGTAGGGAAAAAAATAAGAATGGGATATAAAACATCCAAATTGACCACTTTATAAGGAGCAAGTTTCCACAATGGGAACAGCAAGTCAGAACAAAGCATGGCACTAATGCACCTAGAAGCAGGGTGAAACTATGCTTGTCTGTTCAACTGCATTACATAGGATTCTTGGTATGCAAGTTAGCTTGCGATTACTTGGAAGCAAATTTTACAATTCCTGATCTAAGCCACTAGATGGAATGCTAAACTATGGCACAACATATTAGGGTAGAGTGGGACGAGGTAAACTGCCACAGTCATCTCACCCTGTTACAAGCACACATCTTGTCATCCGAACACAGAGTGACAAACAGTGGGCTCGGAGTAATCCCTGACCAAAAAATCTCCTGACCGTCCAGCTAAAGGAGGCTGTGTGTGATGGAAACAGCTCCTGCAGGAAACAGAAAGGTGTAAATGGCAACAATACCAAAGAAAATGAACCCTCAACACAATTCATAAATTTACCGTCATTTAGCTGATGAAATAAACTTATTGATCTTCACTTCAAAGCGTATTATGAACCATGCTGAAGGTAACTAAATAAATCCAATAATGTCAAACAATGATATCACATTATCAACAAATAATTAAGAATATGTTTTGCATTACCTCCTGCTGTAAAGGATCGCAGCCAATAGAATTGCTTACGATTGGTGGGGGCAGATGCCTCTGTTGTCATGACTGGTATGTCTGAACCGTTTACATTCGAGGTTGGTTCCGAACGGTCTCTCGGATGGGTTACATGTAAATACTAGAAAAGAATATCAATCAATGTATCAAAACTATTCAACGCAATCAAAAAGTTATTTATTTATTCAAACTATTCCTTTTTTAAAATAAATATCTGAAACAAAAGAAATGCACAGCAGGTCAATCAGCATCTGAAAGGGAAAAAATAGATGAATATTTTAGGTTCGACTCTTCATCAAACAGAGAGAGATGTTCTGATGAGAGGTCCTGTCTAAAATGTTAACTGATTTTTCTCTTTCAGAACTGCTGTGGATTTTCGGCATTCCTATTCAGAATTCTAACCATTCAGTTTTTTTTATATATTGCCTGTCAACCAAGCAACATTTGTTGGTCATTTAGTGGTAAAACTCCATTACTGCTTTTTAAAAATTATTTAGACTTTTCAATATACAAATATTGAATTATTACAATGCAATATACAGCATTGCAAATGTAATATAAGGGTGAACAACGAGAAAGAACAAATGAAACAACCTGCATTTCTATAGCACCTTTCATGTACTGTAATGTCTCAAAGCACTTTATCGAGAAAGTTAGTCACTGAGCAGGGAGGATGGGGGAAGAAGGAGAAGGTGTCCAGACTACACAGTCAAAGAGGTAAGGGTCAAACAAGGATAAGGCTGAGGAATTTTAGGAGGAAGTTCTAAAGAGTAGGGACGTAGCAAGTGAAGGTGGGGCAGAGGAGGTGAGGAATGCGCAGTGCAGCATGCCCAAGTTAGCCTAGTGAAACGGCGGGCAGGAGAGCAAGGCTGAAATCACAGATGTAGGGAGGGGCAAGGCCATGTAGGGATTTGTATGCAAGAGAATCTATCCAGGGGGAGACAGTGGAGCCTAGCGTTAACGGGCAAATACAGCTTGGTTATAATAGAAATGCGAGTAGCTGAAATTTGGATAAATTGGTGATTTGGGACGGTAAAAAATGGGGAGACTGACATGGAGGACACTGGAAAAGTCCATAAGTTAAATAGAAAGGGAAACTTTGTGGACGGTATTACAAAATAAATTTGGCTCAAAGTAAGAAAGAAGTTCCAAAGGTACAGAGAGAGAGGGAACTGAGCGAGTCTGGCGAAAATGCAAATTCATTGGAGTGTGGATTTTGGGCTAACTCTCTGGTAAATCACTCAGGTATTATAATACGCGATCAAATCAGTTAGTATAGATGGAGCCTGGCACTTTTGGGCAAGCAAAGCTTTGTGAGATAAGAATACGAGTAACTGAAATTGAAACAGTTGATGCCGTAACATGCAGAGCCTGCATGGACTTGAGCTGAACATTTTGGAGCTTTAGGAGCAGCTGGAGACACTGTCGGATACAGGATGCTGAAGGGCTCCTTCAGGAATGGATAATTTGTGAGGAAGGGAAGTGGGTGATCATACACTGGGTAGAAAGTAGATGGAAAGTAACAGTGCAAGAGAGCATTGCCTTGTCAAATTGTTATACAGTACTTGATTTCTATGACAGACATAACACTGTGAAGAACACAACTTCCTGGGTGGGGTAGAGGAGTGAAGGACAGGAATAAACAGACACTTGTGTAACCAAATGCTCAAGGCCCAAATGGATTTCTGGAATAAGAGACACAACAAGCCGGTGCAGAACGGGAGGCAAAAAAACCAGAAATTGTGGTTTAAGATGGAACTAAAACAACAACAGAACACTCGCTTTGCAAGCGGGAGACCTGAGTTCAATTCCAGGCACAGGGCGAAACCTTGGGCAAGTTTCCTTACTCCACACTCCTAATAATAAACCCTCCAAAACCAAAAACAATAATAAATTGGTCATTTTCAATCCACGACTGTTTGTGGGACATTGCTGTGCGCAATTGGCTGCCGCGTTCGCCCACAAATATACAGTCAATTCACTTTACGGTGTGTTCTGTGAAGCGCTTTGGGACGTCCTCCCGACGTGAAAAGCGCTATATCAAATGCAAGGATTATTATTGTTATTAATCAGGGATTTGGACCCGAGCTGGGGACAGAGATAGGTACGAGTAGTTTGCGTGTCCTGCAAATTGATTTTTGAGAAGTTAGATTAAAAAGCCGTACTTCAAGGGTATGAACCTCAGGATTACTCCCTGCATCATGATCCAATCAGCACAGGACTGCTGTGGAAATAAGATGTTGCTCATTCACTTCATGGCTGCTGGAGGGGTATTGCCGAGCACAGATCTGCTGCTGCTTTCACTACAAAAATACAATCACTCCACAATGACTCTTAAGGTACTTTGAGACGTTTTGACGACGTAATAAAATGCCAGGATTATTGCATGTTATGTTTTGGTGGTTAGTGGGTGGTGGGGGGGGGGGGGGGGGGGGGGGGAGGGGTTAAGGGGAGGGGGTGGTTTAAGGGAAGGGAATGGGGGGCGTAAAAGAGGGGTCGCTGACCAGTATCAGTATCGAAACGTCGCTTGGGAACAGCGTTGGCAAAAGAACTGTCAGCCATCGGCAACACGCAGTCAAACTGCGCTTTAATAAACAAAAGGACGTGGTTCCGGGCGCCAACCCGAGTCCCGGGGGCACAGCGCAGCGCAGCGCAGGTGCGGCCCCGGCGGTGCGGACACCGTGAAACCCCCATCCCCCCCCAAACGTGGTGGTCGCGAACGCGACTCTCGCTCGAACGATCGGCGAGAATGTCCCACTCACCCCCGCAACTCGCCCGGTGTGAGAGTCGTCCCGCCCACAGACATGTCCTGCAAACGTTACACGACTTCCTCCTCACACTCAATCACTATATATATATATATATACAACGGCAATATGACTGACTGACTGCCTGTCCGGCCTGAGCCTGGGCTGCCGTTATCCTCGAGCAAATGTCGGCCTCCTTCAGCAGCTTAGCCCCAGCGCTGTCTGCTCCCCCTACAGATCCGGTCCCGCTCCCACATGTTCGCCACCTCCGCTCCGAGTCCGTGTGGGTCTGTCTGTCTGTCTGTCCCCTCTCACCCCTCACCCTCACCCCGCGCGCCGCGCGCCACCGACGCCCGTCACGCGAGATCCAGAACCGACGCTCGTCGACCGCGCCTGCGCTGCGCTCGCGTCGCCAACTGCCAACCGCTCACACTCCCCGCGTGACACCACCAACTGCCAACCGCCCTCACTCCCCCTGTGCCACCACCAACTGCCAACCGCCCTCACTCCGCCTGTGCCACCACCAACTGCCAACCGCCCTCACTCCCCCTGTGCCACCACCAACTGCCAACCGCCCTCACTCCCCCTGTGCCACCACCAACTGCCAACCGCCCTCACTCCCCCTGTGCCACCACCAACTGCCAACCGCCCTCACTCCCCACGTGCCACCACCAACTGCCAACCGCCCTCACTCCGCCTGTGCCACCACCAACTGCCAACCGCCCTCACTCCCCCTGTGCCACCACCAACTGCCAACTGCCCTCACTCCGCCTGTGCCACCACCAACTGCCAACCGCCCTCACTCTGCCTGTGCCACCACCAACTGCCAACCGCCCTCACTCCGCCTGTGCCACCACCAACTGTCCACACGCCCCCTGTGCCACCACCAACTGCCAACTGTCCAAATTCCCCGCGTGCCACCACCAACTGCCAACTGCCCACACTCCCCCTGTGCTACCACCAACTGTCCACACGCCCTCTGTGTCACCACCAACTGCCAACCGCCCATACTCCCCTTATGCGAACGCCAACTGCCAACCATCCAAACTCCTCCTGTGCCACTGCCAACTGCCCACAATCCCCACGTGCCACCACCAACTGGAACCACCCATACTCCCCTTATGCGAACGCCAACTGCCAACTATCCATACTCCCTCCGTGCCACCACCAACTGCCAACCGCCCACACTCCCCCTGTGCTACCACCAACTGTCCACACTCCCCCTGTGCCACCACCAACTGCCAACTGCCCCCACTCCCTGCGTGCCACCACCAACTGCCAACTGCCCACACTCCCTGTGTGCCACCACCAACTGCCAACCGTCCAAACCCCCCTGTGCCACCACCAACTGTCCACACACCCCCTGTGCCACCACCAACTGCCAAACGTCTGCACTCCCCCTGTGCACTGCCAACCGTTCACACCCCTCTGTGCCACTGCCAACCATCCACACTTCCCTTATGCCACCACCAACTGCCCACTCCCTCTGTGCCACCACCAACGTCCCACACTCACTTGTGCCACAACCAACCAACCACAATATTCTTGTGCCACCACCAACCACCCACACCCCCTGTGCCACCACCAACCACCCACACTCCCATGTGCCACCAACAACCGCCCACACCCCCTGTGCCACCAGCCGCCCACCCTCCCCCTGTGCCACCACCAACTGCCAAACGTCCAACTCCCCCTGGGCTACCACCAATTGCCAACCATCCACACTCCCCCATGCCACCACCAACTGCCAACCGTCCACACTTCCCCTATGCCACCACCAACTGCCCACATTCCCCTGTGCCACTGTCAACTGGCCACATTCCCCCTTTGCCAGCACCAAGTGCCAACTCCCCACACTCCCCCTGTGCCACTGCCAACTGCCTGCATTCCCCTTGTGCGACTGACAACTGTCCACACTCCCCTGTGCCAACATCAATCACCCAAACTCCCATGTGCTACCACCAACTGCCCACTCTTCCTGTAGGCGGTTACATAAATAAGAAGAATCCCTGCATTTGATACAGCGCTTTATCACGTTTTCGAGACGTCTCAAAGCGCTTCACAGGATACACTGTAAAATTAATTGACTGTATAGTTTGTCGGTGAAACACGGCAGCCAATTGCGCACAGCAGTGTCCCTCAAACAGTTGTGGATCGATAACAATAATAATTTATTCTTTTTTATTATTATTCATTATTATTATTTGTTATTTATTATTTATTGATCATAATAATTTGTTTTAAGGAATTATTACTTCATGTTCCTCAATATTACTCTGATAAAACATCTTGCAAGACATTTTGTTCTTCACAGTACGAGAACATAGCCAAAAACAGCTGATGAAAGTTCATGTGTTGTGCCACTCCATGTATGAAGACAACTCCTTCATTATGGACAAGAATGGGATTTTGATGTCTTACAATATCAATAAAGTGTGATCAGTGATTTTACAGTAAGTATGAACATAAGAATTGCTAGACAGGAGAAGACCAAGGTCCCTCTAATTCACCTTTGCCTATCCTGGCAGTCGTATGTACATGTCATGTCCCAAACTATGTATTGTATCCCAAGATATTATTTCCTAAAATAAATCTATCTCATTTGCTTCCACAGTCTCCCTGTGGAGCCTGTTCCATACATTTGCTATTCTCACACTGAAATAATGTTTCCACAGGTTTGTTTTGAATTTACCCCCCTTCAATCGCCGGCCATGTCCTCTGATTCTACTGTTCTGGAGAAGATAAAACTGCTTATCATGGTCTACATTATCCAGTCCCTTTAGAATCTTAAAATCTGCAATTCTATCATCTCTCAACCTTCTCTGTTCCAGTGTGAACATGCCCAGTTTACTTAATCGCTCCTCATAGTCAAGTCACTCCATCCCCTCAATCATTCTGGTTGCCCTCTTCCGTATTCTCTCAATCGCTACAATATATTTTTTGCAGTGACCAGAACCACACTCGGTATTCCAAATATCGTCGCACCAATGATCTATGGTGGGGATTACACCACTATTTCGGCTCAATACTGCCCTCTTGATACAAGCCAGCATCTGGTTTGCCTTATTCATTGCCACTGAGCATTGTTGCGATAGCTTCAATTTAATGTCAATCAGGACTCTCATGTCCCTTTCATTTAATAAATCCAAATGTCTGTTTGCTATATGCACTTTTACTGTAATTACGCAAAAGTTCAAATAACACATTGCTTATGCATCAAAAAAATATATATACATTTGGCTCAGAAATAAGTGACTTTATGCACATTCTTCATTATTGAATGCTTCTCATTACTTTTTAAGCGCTCTGGAGCGCTACTCTAGTGAAGGGCGCTATATAAATGAATGTTGTTATATGAACTTATAGAATCTTCATTTTATTGCATTATTGTAGATGAAAACTTGAGCAAAAAAAATGTAATCCTTTATTACAATGACAAATGCTATACCATACCCATTTACACGACTGTTTGTGGGACACTGCTATGTGCAATTGGCTTCCGCGTTTCGCCCACCAATCATAGTCAATTCACTTTACAGTATATTCTGTGAAGCGCTTTTAGACGTCTAGAAGACGTAAAAAGGCGCTAAATCAAATGCAAGGATTATTATTATAACAAGCATAGGTGATGATAATCTTTAATAATAGTAATCCTTATATTTGGTATAGTGCTTTCCACTTTGAGAGGACATCTCAAAGCACTTCACAGGATTTACAGTAAAGGGGTGTGATTGTAATTTGTAGGTGGAATGTATAATGCACATATCCATATGTGAGAATTGATGTCAAAATAACTATTTCAGGGGATGTTAATAAATAAAATAATGAAATGTTTCACTAATCTTTGCTCTTAACACCATAAGTGTAATCATGCAGAAAGTATACTTTTGATATTCTGTCTCTTAATGACGCATATAATAATAATCCTTGCATTTGATATAAAGCCTTATCACATCAGCTTGGGCAAAGTAATGGATATTTTTGAGCATCTGTGGAACTGTACCTCAGTTTAATTCAGTACCATTAGTAGAAAAGAATTGAGGATTTTAGAAAGCAGAAGGAAAAAATAATCCATTATTTTACCAGTTAAGATAGTGAAGTGTATATGGAGAGGTTAATAAATAAACTGACTGAATATAACTTAAGGAATTTTATGTTAAAAATATGACACAGTTTGCTGTTTTCTGGATTGTGTAATTAGAGTTTTAAGAAGTGGGTGTGCTCCTGGCAATGGTCATGTAGTATGTTACCAGTCATTAGAAGTACTTGAGTGGGGCCAGACATTTTTCGTGGAGGAGTAGAAGTCATCCAGAGGCTGCTCTCACTCACCTCTTACTGGCTGAACACAGAGTGGTATTGGCAAAGATGTTAACCTATGGAAGACACTGTCAGTGACTATGGAATGAGCTATAAACATTCCAAAAAGAAGGGACAGAGTCTTATTGAACCAGGAATGGGAGATTAACCAACGAGTTACATAATTAAAAAAAAGCAAAACGAAGATGAAAATGGTCTAAGCAGGTCCTGTAAATACAATACAATTTATATACCACCTTTCGTGCTGGGAGGACATCTCAAAGTGCTCGACACTTCTGGCTGGGTGCCAATTTATATCTCAATTCATGGAAATATTTGTCATTCCAGAAATCTTTACATGAACAAGATATTGTTACATGAAATACTTTAACCAACAAAGAACTTAAACAGTTTATTAATCAGTAACTAATAATAATAATAATAATCCTTGCATTTGATATAGCGCTTTTCATGTCGGGAGGACATCCCAAAGCGCTTCACAGAACACACTGTAAAGTGAATTGACTGTATACTTGTGGGCGAACGCGGCAGCCAATTGCGCACAGCAATGTCCCAGAAACAGTCGTAGATTGAAAATGACCAATTTATTATTGTTTTTGATTTTGGAGGGATTATTATTAGGCGTGTGGAGTAAGGAAACTTGCCCAAGGTTTCGCCATGCCTGGAATTGAACTCAGGTCTCTCACTTGCAAAGCGAGTGCTCTAACCACTGAGCTACAGGACTCCACACTATGTTATTAACTGCTTGCCTTAAAATGAGCTCTTTATCAAATCTGATATGAAATGCAATTTTTAATAAAAAACTAATTTTCAAAATACATTTATTCATCTATAAGGTCTCATGTTTCAGCAAAAGTGTCAAAAGGTGACGCTGATCTGGAGCAAACGGATTAGCATCCAGGACCAGGAAGGAACCTTATCCCAGGTTAACACAACAGTCAGCTGAAAATGGACTCACCGCAGATGTTGCTTCAATCTTGTCAGGCTAGCATGCCCAACATAGCAGGTTACCATCTGTTGTACTGGCAGAATGGGA